TGGTTCGATGGCACACAACGTTCACGATCGTTCAAGTTCAAGATGACGGAGACACACCACATACCTTTACGGTCGTTCAGACATTTTTTACTCTATCTAGCTTCGCAGTTCTTGAAATTCCGACCGGCAAATGTTACGTCGGCTGTCTTGTTTACATCAGTCGTACGCCGGAAACACGAGCTGCCACCACGGTGTCCGCCACCTTCGCCACTGATTTGCACGTTGCAGAATGCTTCACATGTTTACTAGAAGATAGAAGAGGCTTCAGCCTCTTTCTTTTCCTTGCAGGTATTTCGGACTGTTAAAGAAAACAATACGGGGAAAGAGGGCGTGGTCGAGCTTATTTTAATCTGAAATTATTTATGCATATGTATAGCTAACGTCGCTCTTCACTGCCTAAAAGGTTGCGTAGATGGTCATTGTTAGAAACTCGTTGTCAGAAGGCACTGCTCGTCGCATGCTTAGTGGTACGGAAGTTCAAAGCTGTCTTTTCGACCTAAACACCTGTGCCGATAGTAACAAAAGAAAAAAAAAAAAAAGAATAAATGCGGGAATAAAAAGCAGGAGAAAAAAAAAAACTATCAAGAATTCGTCGGAAGTGTTCTATTCTTGCCTATTCAGAGGTTCAGAACTTCGAAACAAGTTTCTTTTACCAAAATGTGTACAGGCTAAAAGAAACACGTCCCAGGAACGTGAAGCGAAAAAAAAAAAAAAAGTTTTCTTTTGATGACGTGCTGAACTTGAACACTACTGGAAATCTTCTCTCATGAGTTAATTTATTCCTTAACGTGAAAAAACAATAAATAGATCATTTTTGTATTCTGCAGATGGCAATGATAAGTACTGTCTGTGGTGTTAACTTAAATGCGATACCTCAAACAACTTAGACGAAAATAAATATCAAGTTTAGGTCATACTTGCATGCAGATACATGTTTGGACATTTCTTCGAAACTCACGTTGAATAACAATAATCACATCTTAAGACGGTACTTACCTAAACTATACATAGATCATTCTTAAAAAAGTATAACATATCTACCATAAATAGCTCCGGCTGCAGCGTGCTTCAAATCTGGCACAAACGATAATCGTCGAAAACCCGTCGTCCTTCCTCGCCCCTTCGGGGATTTATTTCTTTAAACCTAAGCATGCCAGAACATTGAAATAAACGACATTGTCTTTCGTAAGGAACGCAGCACCGCGTGTAAAAGTTCGAGAAAAAAAAAATTACGAATGTACCCCACTACTTGAAATCAAATGAAACCGTCCGCCGGTCTTTCGAAGTTCGACGAACGTCGAACTTTTACCCTAAAAGTTCGAAGTTCGTCGAACTTATGACTTTTCAGAAATCGAAAGTTCGAAACTTTTCGCATTCTCTTGATAAATAAGTTCGAAAGTTCGAAATTCATCGATTTTTTGGTCAGTCAAGTTCGAAAGTTCGACAAGCATCGAACCTTGCAGCGCAATAAGTTCGAAAGTTCGAAAAATATGGAATTTTTTAGCGTAATAAGTTCGACGGTTCGAAAAGCGTCGAACTTCTTAGCTTAACAAGTTCGAAAATTCGACCTCCGTCGAATTTTACGATATGAACAATTCGAAAAATCGAAATCTTTCGAACCTTTCGAACCACTTGATTCGATCATCGAAACTTCGATTCGAAAAAAGTTCGCGGCATCCCTAGATATAACGTGCTTTCGTTGGAATGGATTGCATTTTATCGCAGTGTTTCTTGGTTTATTTTTTCAAGTGACAAGCTGGCGTTTGCTCGGATGACGTACATGAAATGACTTGTTATATAACAATGCATCAACACATACTATTAAACTTAGACGCTCAGGGATGTGTTCGTTTTTGTAATCAACAAGTTACAGACATAATTATTTTTTACGTATAATATTTATTTTCTGTAGCTGGGCCCGTTTTGTGCTCATTAAAGTCAGTGTGCTATGATGTTATCATTACGTATGTATGGTTCTAAATATCCTCTTTACAATGCCTACAAAGGCCCAAATGACGTCAGCCGACCCCAGCTCACGCATTGGACACGAAAACTGCGTCACTCGGACGTATGCGCTCGTCAACAATCAATTCGTCGACGAATATTTGAATTCGCGTTAGTGGCCAAAAAGTGCACTGACGGAACTTATTATCACTTGCGAATGCCAAGTTCTATGGTGTGCTCAAAAAGCACGGTGGAAGCTAAGGGTCATCGCACCGGTGCCGAAGAATGTCACGACCGCGTGATTTCACAGGTCGCTTTTGAGTTGAGGATTACAGCTAAGAAACAAGAAGTTAAAAAAATCATTTTATGGTCCCTTTAACACGGATATGTGTGCCACACCAGATAAAAATATTGACATTTTGCATGCCGGTAAACTTCGGGACAGCCACTTGGCCTGTCGGCAAGAACACTTCATATCCGGCGTCCGTCCCTTTTGATGGCATTAACAATCCTCTGGAAACCACCATGCTGTCCTTCTTGGTTTAACCTTGTCGTCTGTTCATCGCCCAAACGAAGGTGAGACCGTCGTCGATGTCGCTCCTCGCCAGTCGGTGAGATAATCTCATCCTGAACGAAGTATGATGCTAAGCATATATTCGCTTACTGTGGGGCAGTCGAGCAACAGTCACGTCCCGAGGCAATCGTCCTGTCGTGGCCGGCGTTTTCGGATTTTGTTTTATAGGAACGAAGTCCGAGAGTACAGGGTGTCACAAAAGAAAATTGCACGGTATTTTTTACCGCAAAAATAAACTAGGCGTCGCCGAAGGCTTATTCTCCGCCCAAAGGTAGCGCTAGAGGTCACAAACATGTTTCAGCCCGATCCGATAACTTAATCAAAAGTTATAAGTGATTTTCTGAAAATTTCAATGGGAAAATGGCGGCCGACGGAGTTTTCAAACACATGGGGCTCTGTGACACCAGAAACCGAAAACGAGCAAAAATGGGCTATATTTTCTCTTTGAAATTTTCAGAAATTACTTATAACTTTTCTCTCTTCTCACTTCACAGACTCTTGAGGCCCGTGCCGTACCGCCATGCCGAGCGTCTTTTACCACTTTTCAATGGACGAATGGAGATATAAACTAGCGAAAAATTGCCGCCCGGCGTCGCTAGCAGCACGGTTACCATGGCAACCTCCAGGCCCAAAATGGAGATCACTATCGGCGCTTCTGACGTCGTGCATCTACATAATTTGGCGTCGTGTCGCTACTCTGGCAGCTTCGCTGCCATATAGAGTGGCTCTAGATCCGACTGGTTAATCCCAGAACTGCGCGACACCAGATCGGATTCGCGCGGATCTGAACTGTCCACAAGTTTAGAACCGCGCGGATCCGAACTGGAACCGCTCCGATCTGACATTTTCGTACGGGATACTATCTGAATCTAGCAAAGGCCAAATGCGAGCAATATAAACAGACGTAAACTAACAACTGGTTTATGCCTGTGTTCCTTCTTTCTTTACTTTGTCCCTGTACTAGTTACTTGTGATTCTCTCTCCATAGCCCAGAGCTCGAGAAGCACTCAGCTTTTCTGCTTCGGCGTATTTGATTAAAAACAGATACAAAAGAAAACACGAAATAGTATACATAACCAGCCAATTCATTCAAACCATCAGTATCATTGATTGTGTGAGATGTAAATCTATGGTGATGCTCTTGCAATTGTGGCCATATTTCTTCATTTTCGATTCATGCGTCGCCTGCCCTGTCAGCCATGCCTGAAATCTTGGCTGAAGTTTTGCCTGCAGCTACATGCCATACCTCAATAAAGCCACATACGAAACTTTAGGTCCATATCACATGAGCGAATGACGCTTTAGCGAACAGCGACATTTGAGAGAATCGACTTTTTAGCGAATAACGGGGGCACGCGTTAACCGACCCCTTCCCCCTTCCCTTCCCTCCCCCCCCCCCCCCCCCCCCCCCCCGTGCTGCGCTAACGCCGCTTCGCGGCGACAGTCTGCGGCGGCTCATTACAAAAATGTGAACCCACTTGGCCCGTCCGAAAACACCGCTTCGCGGCGTCCGACTATTCACTAAAGTGTCATTCGGTGAAACGTGGGCATTCGCTAAAACATCATTCGATCAAGTGAGTGCATCCCAAAAATTTACACTTCCTGCAAAAAACGCGCGCGCGCAAAAAAAAAAAAAAATTAAATAGAAACGAGCGCGCCGACAGCTAGCTAACGTCGTCACAGCCTCCGCAGGGCGAGCGGGTCGAGCGGGGCGAGTCGGGGAAACATTCTGTCCTCGCCGTGATGTCACCCCGGTTCACCGTCCGTTTCACCTTCAGTCCGAGCGCAGCGGACGCTAGGCGCCATCCCAGCCAATCCAGCGCGGAGAGAGTGTCATGTGACCTTGAGCTCCCTGCGTCGCTCTGCCCAACCGGCAGGTCACGCGCTTTTCTCCCGGCGCTGCATCGGCTGGGATAGCTCGTGGCGTCCACTGCGCTCGGACTGAAGGTGGAACGGAGTTTTTTTTTTTTATAGTCCTTTTGCTAGTCCTAGTCCTAAGGGGCCGGGCCAGAGCGAGGGCTCCGGCTCTGCCTCACCTCTCGCGTCCGTGGCCGCGCCCGATGTCAGAGACGAACGGTGGGGCCGGGCCGCCCGGCCTCAGCCGTCGCGTCCGTAACCTTTAATCTGAAAGCACGGAGCGCGAGCTCCGTGCTTTCAGCGTCTCTGCCAAGCACGCCGAAGAGTACAAACATTGTTTAAGCTAGATGGCGCAAGCTACTGCCCAATACAAAGAGTACAGTCGCTAAGATTTATCCATTTTACCCAATGATGGTAATGATGATGATTTTAAAACTGGAGAAATGGCGGGAAAGAGTTGTCACGCAAGTGAGGCCATACAAAGTTGAACATGTATTCATTACATTTAAAAATAAACATTTCAGTGCTCTAATAGGTTTAACAATACATTTTGCATAGTCGGCTGCTGGCTTTCTGGCTTTGCCAGAGCCGTCGGGCTTGCTGTGCCCGCTTGCTTGGCCATCTGGCGGCTGTCGCCCGAAACATCATTTCGTGGGTGTTGCGATCGTTGCAAAAAAGTCGCCGTCGGACTCCACGACAATCTGGGGACAAATTCACCTGCGCAGCGGGGTTTAGAACGTGCCTATGTCAACGACCCCCAGAGAAGACCGCAAGGCGTTCACCATGTCCACCAGCGGTGAGTTGGCACCTGTCTCCGCGTCCGAACACGCAGAGGCGACCGCGTAGGCCTAGGTGTCAACCGGCGATCCGTCGAGTTGGCAGGCTCCCACAGCGGACCTCAGATAGCGGAACAGCTGTTGCTATTACTGCTAGTGTGCAAGAAACGCGACTGCCGCACTCTTGAAACACTGCTGGAGAGCTACCGTTGACGCCTTCAGCGTCCTGGGTCCACGCTGCAAGCAACTTCGCAGTTGCCGCGGGAACACCAAAAATCGATAAATTTCGCAGTATGCAGTCTACAGCCCCTGCTGGCTGTAATGTCCATTTCATGGCGTAACCACAGTGACTACGTGTTACAATGCATGACGTTGGAGAAAAATATTGTCTGTTGGTCCTTGTTTCTCTTCAAAGCATATCGGTTTATCGGTTGCTCCTGTAGCATTGCCCGCCGGACCATTACATTACCGGAAGCACGGTAGGGGGAAAGGAGACGTCGGTTGCGACATGGCTGTGTGTCTGGTATTTTTTTTTATTATTATTTTATTGGCAGGATAAAACCAGCTGGGGCTAGGATCGAAATGTGCGCGCTTCCTCGGGACACCGAAAGCGTGTCGGCGTCGAAGCGACGACAGAAACCCGGGACAGCACGTTTCCGGAAATCCGGAAATGGGACACCGGCAGCGTCCCGCATGACTAAGCACTATTCTGTTTATATTCCTTTGCAAATATCCGCATTGAATGACCGCCTCCATACGAGAGAATACAGTGTCAGACCGCAAAGAAGGTACAATCGTGAGAACAAAGGACGCTCCCCTTATTGAGCCGTACTCCAGTCATCTTGCATCGAAGAAGGGACCAGCCATCAAGCACCGTGATGCTGCAGTTTCTAGCGCATAAGATCGGTTCCAACCAGGGTGAGCTACCGAGGAAAGCTGTCTTTCACAAGTTCCTTGGCACGGGGACACTATAAAGGAACACGAAAAATTGGCGGAAGGCCAAGCACCTGTTGTGCTGTTTCTGCTTGCATCACCGGCTACGTGCGGCCGTCGGCTACAACGTGATCTTTGCTGTCATCGTTTTCAAGTTCCCTAAGGAGGACGCGTGCTTCAGTTCACCTCGTTATCTTTTATTCGTTTTTAGATGCACGCTGATCTTGTGTCTGTGAGAGAAAGAGAGGAGACTCGCTCACGGCCGTCAAAAAATGCGGGTCGCAGCGTCTGGGAAAATCGCGCTGCACGAACGGTTCAAAGCCCCGCTATGACCTGACGGACTCGACCGCTCAAAGAAAAGCCTTTCTGGGAAACTAATTCAGAATAAAAAAGAAGAGCCCGCGCAGGTGAGACAGGTAGAACGGCCTCGTGGAGAGGGCGGTTCCTTGCATGACTCACTGCACGCGGACCTGTTACCTGTTGCGTTCATACAATGGTCGGGGGAGGGCAAACGTTGACGGGGAAGGGGTATACCGGTACCGCGGTACGAGGCGGCAACGGCTATTTTTCTTTCCTCTTCACGTCCTGACCGCGTTCCGTCGCTGTGTCTGTCTCGCTGGCCACGTCGAACCCGCCAAGTCCCCGCGGCGGGCAAAGCCGATACAGCTGGCGTTGGCGCGTATGGCGCACTACCAGCGCGGCGGTGCGAACGCCTTAGCCTACGAAGAAGATTCGTATCTGCCGGATCAGACCATCGGCGACGACGAGTCGACGGGATACGACTCCGGACAGGACCTCGCGCGCGTGGGTGCCACGGACCCGAGTTTGGACGACGAGGGACGTAGCCTCCTCAGACTTGCAGCCGGCGAAGAGATTGAAGAGCTGCTTCACGGTGAGCGCAAGTTGGAACGTCGACGCAACTCGCTCAAGAAACTAATGAAAGCGCGGATTTTGACAGCTTGCTCCGGGGGTAGATGGATGACAAAATCTCTTACTCGTTAGCCTGCCCATGTTGGAAGTTTGGGCCGGTTCCGAGATGTTCTGCAGGAGTTGTGTGCAGTGATGCGGTTCTGGCAGTTGGGACGTGAGAGGTGTTTTTCCTGTTGGATTTGGCACTGCTCGGTTGCTCTTTTGAGTGTGCAGTTTTCGCTTTTGATGGTACGCAGTGCTAGGGGGTTTGGTATAGTGTTGAAAGTTCTGTGGAAAAAATTTCCTTTGGACTTTGCATCTTTTCTATGCATGCAAGGTCCTAATCTGATACGGTCTGCAATACCGCCGACAGATGTTGCTGGCACTATCGGGGCTGATTGACAGTTTGTGGCATGAGGTCAGCTCTAAGTACACCACTTTCTTTCTTTCTCTAATCTTCTCTTCTACTCTCAATAAAAGCAGCTTATCTTCCTTTCGAAAAAGGGCCTGTATGGACAGCTCATATCCTGTTTGACCTTTTTCTTGGGGTCACCCTTATCTGGGATAAAGAATCATTATTCAGAAGCCTATTCCTGTTTGCTTTACGAATGCAGCATTCTGCATGTACAGTAAGAATAAAAATTTGGCTAACCAATGACATTGATATGTCAAGGTTTAGAGTGTCCCATGTTTATTGAGGTTTTCCTGTTGTTCTCCCTGCTGCAGACAACTTCTTTGACGCCAACAGCGACATCAAAGTGAGCGATGCAACGCCAGACAGTGGCGTGCATGACCTCTCCGGGATGGATCCCGAGGAAAAGGCTCGGCGCGAGGCAGAGTGGAGGGAGGAGCTCGCTAGGGTGAGACACCTTGAAAGTGTCGGGAAGGCAGCTGTTGTTTTTGAACCCAACCCTTGGCTTCCCCAGCTCCCTCATTGCCTTCGTTAAACGACGAGATGAAACAGTTTGTGTGTGTGTGCGGCTTTCGTCTGATTTCTTTAATGAATTAACTTACTATTGTCTTGTCTCCGCTCCCAGGTGAGTGCAAGTGTTATTTTAAAACAGTCACTCTTGACTCTTGTGGGTAATGTGAAGTGTATGAATGCAGTAAGAGCTGGTAGCTTCGTAAGTTTATGCCCGCTCATGCAACTTATTATGGCGTAATGTTGCTCCTGCAGCTCCGAGTGGTAGTGACAAAGGTTAAATATCAGTGCATATGCCAGACTCATCTCTTCTAGTGAAGCAGTTAATATGCTATAATTCGGATTCCATGTTTTCGGCGCTTGTTTCTCGTGAAATTCCGAAGGTGTTTTTCAATTTATTTTTCGCTGAAAATTGAATTTATCGGAGTTTAATTTTGTTAGATTCCCAATTCTCTGAAATTCAAAGTTTATTTTACTGTGTTTCAAAATGTAAAAAGATTCAGAAACACAAAAGGAAAAGTTTGGGTACCATAACCCGTTGCTGTGAAAGAACCATGACGAGCTAAACGACAAACCCTTTTTGTCCGTAGTTCAAAATTTCAAAAGAAACAGTCCTCAGGACCACTGACCCTGTGCACTTATAAAGTTTACTCTAAAATAAAATCACTTCTACTTTTTTTTTTTTGTCGTTGTGACCTCGAAATTTTGAGTCTTATAGATCTGAATTGCTGGGAAACTTACTGGCGAGTGTTTTTCAAATTTTTTTGGATTTCTCTGGAAACACTGAACCCTAGCTATAATTTAAGAAAAGGCACTACCTAGAAAAAAAACATTTTGCAAAAACAATTGACTGAAAAATGCTCTATTTACATCTGCCAACATCTAGAGAGTACCTTCAGAAGGTTTCTCTTGTTCACAATGCATAGTTATATTTTTATAAATTTTCAGTTCACTGATGCTAAAGAAAAGGTAGAGGTTTTGATCATAATGCAATTAACGCAAAGGTGCAAGCGAGCTGGAATGAATTACGATGATAATCCTTGGAGAAGGAAAACAAGGGGGACAAAGGACAAACACAAATCTCAAAATACAGCTAGGTTATTGGTACACGACTGAAAATATCTGCCTGGCTCTGGTACTTTTTGTCCCTTGTTCCCCTTCTCCAGGGATTATCGTCATCCATTCCAGCTCACTTGCTCCTTTGAATCAATTGCATTATCATCATAACCTTTAAATGCAGGCCGTTCACCCTTGTTGGTATTAGACTGGTGGCAGCTGATAAAACCCATTTGCTTTACTGAAGTCTAACTCCTGATTAGCTCAGTTGGTAGAGCGCTTTTTTGAAAATGGAGAAGTCCCTGGTTCGATTCCAGGGCCAGGCGGATATTTTCGGTCGTGCACCAGTCACCTGAATGTGTTTAGAGATTTGTGTTTGTCCTTTGTTTCTCTTCGGGGATTATTATCGTCAAGTAGAGGTTCAGGTATTTCAAATACATTTTTTTCTGTTCCACTTTTTGGCATAAATTTCACGTAATAAATTTATTGTTTCAGCATGAAACTATCGAGAAACTTGGTTTTTGCGGCTTATATACCGAAATTTTATGAAGTCAGTTACTATGAGCATAGATTTTGCATTTTCATGTTCCTTTATTATAGAAAAGTGTAATTTGCGAAACTTGGTAAATGTGGAGAAAACAAATCTTTTAATTATGTTTTTTTAGCTGAACAATTTATATTTCGTGAAATTCCTTTTTATAGCAACCGGCAACAGGTATTTCAGTATGTATTCCACTAGAAAAATGTGTGGTTATTAATGCCATTTCTCAACAATAGATTCATTGAGCAGAATCCATGCCAAGCTACACTTTACTTTGTTCTGGGGATACAGTACATCCTAAAATTGGTTCACAGGGCTGAAACTTTGCATGCCCTCCATTTATATAGATAAATACCACCTGTAAATTTCATGCCGACTGTGTGAGCGGTTCAGAAGTTGATGTTTCCAGGTAGTGTCCTCCCTCAAAGGGATACTTCTAAGAAATGTGAAATATACCCATAGTGTTCAGAAACGGGCTGAATATGATCTACAATATCCGTGAATGACAATTGCACGTTTGTATGTTGAGCCTGATGGCTGTGTTTGTCGTTCTATAATCTTGTAGAGGGAAAATAGCGACGTCTGGGATGCACAAAAAAAAGAGTCCTATTGAGTGGGAAGTTTCTCCCTCTCCTCTTCTCTTGTGCTGGCTGTAGAGCTGTCGGGATGACATCAGGTTCACAGCATGTATAGTTCTAGGCGAGACAGTTATCGTCACTACCTGTCTAGGTTTCTAGACTGGCATTACAAACGAGGTTTTAGCGACATCCACCAGGTGCTTTTCGCTAATCGTTTAATTTGTTTTAAAATTCCTTTTCGTGTCTTTTTTAACTAGAGATTGGTATGTCCGATGTGATGCTGCTCCGTTGAGCACATATAGACAAAAAAATGGGCGCCAAATTTTCGTTGTAGTGTCCCTTTAAAACATATGGTGAAAAGACAGAAGTGGCATTGATGATGAAAAGAGTAATTATTGCTAGGAAAAACCTCAGGCAGGGTGGATGCTTTACACTCGAGACAGTTAAGTGCTTTCTCAGTGCAAAGGGTTTGACTTACCTGGGATTTTACAAACAAAATTTACCCCGAGAAATTTTTGAGTTAGATAAGCTTTGTGGTGTTAAGCATATTTTCCTGCAAGATGTGCACAAGGAGTTGGAGCATTAATTTTGTATGCGTGTTATTTTGTAATTCATCATGTTTTGGACACTCCTGCTTTGGTCCTCAACAGGACTGGGAGTATTACAAAATAAATTCAAGGATTGCCCTCTTTACCCAGTAGTTCATTAGCCGAAACAAACGATGAAAGCAGTTGCTTGTTTTCCATACGAGTAAACAGCAGGAACATTTTGTAATTGTCCCTTAACAAGTGCCTTGGACGAGCTGAGCTCGTCGGCCGCTTTTAGGCTAAAAATGCCATGGACGAGCTAGGCTTGTCCGAGTAGTTTGCGGCGCTGATTATAGATTGCAGCACTCGTTTTAGTTGGCGCATTTTTTTTCCGCTGCCACTGATTTTTGTGCAATAAATTTTTGCAATTTTATCTGTATTACTAGAGGAATAAAACTTCGAAATAAAAATAAAATGGCACTTTTAGGTTACTTTTCGAAAAAAAAAAAAGGGGGCCACTTAAGGGGTTAATCGAATAAAGTTTGGTGGTGAGTTACAGATTCGGCAAATGTTTGAACCTCCATCTGTTTAACTACCATAAACATTTTTAAGACAAAAGCTGTCATACTAGTAGGTACGTTTGCCACATCCAAATTGTCAAGCGTGGATGTCATGTAAGGTGCCTCTTGCTTTCTCCGCTGTCTCCTCTGGCACAGGTTGAGGAGGAGATCCAGAGCCTGCGGACTGTGCTGGCCTCCAAGCTGGTAAGGTCTCAGGAGCTGAAGCGGAACCTGGGCATCACCGTCTGGAAAGAGCTGAAGGATGACATGGAGCAAGGCATCAAGAATATTCAAGACAGTGCTGCGTGAGTGCCGCCGCTCCTGCCGTGTCTCAACTCCTGTGTTTTCCTTCAAAGCTGGCAGCTTTCTGTGTCTGCTTTCTGTACGCAACTTTTTGAAAGGATTTGAATGGGGCACAAAGTTAGTTGCAGGCTCTTCGAATGATGCTTGACGTTCTTGTATACCTTGGAGACAGGCACGTAGCCAGGATTTTGTTTCGGGGGGGGCCCGCCCATGACAAAATGCTATATGAGGGGGAGGGGGGAGAGGAGGCCCCAGCAAAATGGACGATTTCAGGGGCGGGGCCCGGGCCCCATGGGCCACCCCCCTGGCTACGTGCCTGCTTGGAGAGGAATTGAAATGGGCAGAAATCTACCATTAAATGCTGGAGGAATGCCCAGCCCACTTTTACTGAAAAATGGGTTGATCTAGTAACGGGCACTTGTTTGGTCAAATCAGGTGCTTATCGTGTAACTTGCGGAATTTTCACGTTTTTTAAATGTTAATACTGTGCGCTTGAACTAAGTGGGCACTCTTGCAGTATTTTACAGTAGTCGCAAGATCTCAGACTCATGCTTGATACTCTTCACTGATTGCGCTCTCGCGTCATTTTGTGCCAAAGACAATTTTCTGTGCCATCCTGATTAAGATCCGCCATATTGCACAAAAGTGCACCATATTCCGTGACTGGCCGAATTAGGCGGCAACTTCGTAGCTAAGCCAGTGGAAACCAACATTACAGAGTAGCTTAGTGTCTACAGCAAAAAAAGAAAAAATGGTAGATTTTTTTTTAAATTTATGATTCTCTTAACTAAATTTAGGTGATCAGCAAGATTTTATGACTGCATGCTCCACAGTACTCTGAAAGGTGATTCAAGTTCTCAAAACGGTTTTGAGATTTCACGTCTCTGTGCTCCAAAATGCTTCAAGAGTTATTGGTAGGTGCTCGAAAGTGCTCCAAAATTTGTTTTCAGGTGCCCCAAAAATCGCTCCAAATCACAATTTTGCAGTAGCATCGACGTGTTTTTGCATACCTTGGGAAGGATTTGAGTTGGGCAGAAAGCTAATTGCAAGCTCTTCAACTAGTGCTTGAGGTTTTTGTATTGTACCTTGTTTGGTTACAGTGCCAGTTCTTTATTTTAACTGGTTCCAGATAACTTCCTGCAGAAGGCTGTTCACAGAAACTTTAATGCTTATTTGCAGAGAAATAGGTTTGAACAGTTATTTTGTCAAAAAGTGGGGAAGGAAAGTATGGTTTGTAACTTCGGTACACAAAATTTTCAGTGAAGGTGCAGATTGACTTGCATCCCTCTGGCATCTAGTCCCTGAATTACTTGTTCCAACTTTTTGTATCCTAGTGTTTTATACCTACAGGATATGTTAATGTACAGTTGAGTGTACTGGTGCTGCTTTGTTCAAGTTTTTGGAAGGAAGTGCTGACTTTGTCGTTGAATTTCAATAGGACATGAAGGCTGCCTGTTAAAACCTAAAAGTAGTCTTAATTGTAGTCTTTTATTATTCCCTGGCAGACATGCTGCTAGGGGCTGGGTTTTGTTACCAGCTATATAACATTGTCGGTTGCTGCATATTAGATAACTTTCAGGTCGAGGTAAATTATATCTTCTATCTCATAACAGATTCTTTATATCCAAATCCTTGATTTTTGTACATTCATTGTCTAAGCTACTCATCTCATTGATGCATCGGAAAGGCACAAGGAGAAAACAAAATGGCCCCTAGATTGGGGTGCGGCTTCTTATTGTAGGCCTAATAAACATGAACTATTAGTTACACATATTAGTGCTGAAACACCGAGTAAAATAAGTGTTACTTTGTTTCTTGTAAAGTGTATGGAAACCAAAACCTAGTCTTGTTGAAGTGAGGTACTCAAGCTTTGCTTTTAGTTGACAACAGTCTTGTTTTCCTTTTACATTTTACAAAGCTGTAGAAACATGAGAGAATCATGTTGTTGCTCCTAATATGGGTTTTAAACGAATCTTAAATCGGCCATAAACCTTGAGACTACCCGAAGTCGGCTTGGAATATAATTGTTACTTCTGATCAAGTGCTGGCACAGTAATAGTAGTCAGCCCTTGCATGTTACATGCAAGGATTGGTTATTCAAAGGTGCCTGATATCCTGTGGCATTCAGCTGAAACCAGGCCATTGTGGGGGCTTCATTAATGCACCTGAAAAGCAAAAAAAAACAAAAGTACTTTGCCATGTTAATTTTTGCAAGTTTTTGGGAGAATGTCACATCCTTGTCATAGGCTTGCTTTTACACCCCTGCATTTCCTTTTTTTTTTTCTTCAGAACACTACATGTTTTTTAGTGTTACAAAACTTGCTTATTAATGTGTTCCTTGTAGGTTGTACCTTGTGTGCCTTGCAGCAAAGCACTCAAACTTTAGCGTGCCCCCATGCCAGCTTTAGCCAGAGTGGTATGGAATGAGGTAAAGAAAAAGAGACCTTGCTCTGTCTTGACTCAGGTATAAGGATGTCAGTGGGAAGTTGGTGGAATGGAACTCTGCTCTGACGAGCGCTCCCATGTGAGTTGGCACCTCCCGGAAAGAAACTGTCGCGCAATGCTGCTGTCATTCTCTGTCTGCGTCTGCTCTTTCCTCTGTGTGCCGCCGCTTGTGATGGAAGCATGTCTTCTGCTGTGTGTGGTTCATGTGGCTCAACGAGAATATATTCTCTGGTCTAGTTCGACATATCAAAATATGTGTTGTGATAAAGGCCCGTATCAAAGGCAGCTTAGTTCAAGTAGGGTTGTTATTCGTTACTCTTTTTGATGGGCACTGTGTAATTTCCATCGAAGCCTGGCAGATTTTGCCCAAAATTAAACATCATCTGTTCCTTTTTGGTCATTTGCTTCTTTTTTAATGTGGTTCAAAAATTGGTCCAAGCGAGAGGGAGCATGTTTGAGAGCTACTTATTAATTAGCATATATGTTATGAAAATTTAATGAAAATTAGTTTTAGACACCATAAATTCACAAGTGAAAGTCCGATTGCTACTACTGTAAGTACCTCTGCAATGCAGACGCCACACATATTTAAAAAAATGTATGGCAGTAGAAATACTGCAATATATCCCAAGTACATACACTCCAATCATACACTAATAATTTACATAGCACTCAAGGCTGTTTGGAGATTTTTGGTATTCTTTCTTTCTTTATTCAGGTACCCACTTCGCCATCAGGCATTACAGTGGGGGGGAAAACAAACACAGTACAGACACACAAAAAAAAACATTCAACACCATAAAAATCGGGGTAAAAACAAAGCAAAGCTTTTTAGGACAGGGAGAAAAAAGAACTGTGTTTCTCCGCCCGGGTAAATCAACTATGCATCGCAGAAAGCTCGAACTCGGTGAGAATGTGAAGCTAGCGGTTTGGATGGAACACGAAAGATTGAGATGACGAAGTTGCTTGAATTAAAATATGACTGAGAAAAACACAATTGTTCTACAAGCCGACATCCACCTAAGCCTAATATCGTCAAAACAAGAAATGGTATTGTGAACGCCTGCGAGATTTATGTCTGTGAAAAACGCTTGTCAGGAAGAAAGAGAATATTTTCTTAGTTGTTGACACGTTTGTTTCTCTGAAATAGATGCTATAGGTGCCCACAATGTCATTTCTTGTTTTGGCGATATTAGGCTAAGGTGCACGTCCGCTCGTAGAGAAATTTCGTTCTTCTCAATTATCTTGATCATGGTATTGTCATGTTCTCAAACTTGCGCGTCCTATCCCGACTGCCAGCGTCACACTCTCACGGAGCCTTGAGCTTTCTGCGGCGCATGGTTTATTTACCCAAGCCGGAAAACACTGTTCTCTTCACTCGGGAACTCCCTGTATATCAAACATTGGAATGCTTCCATCATAGCTAGGAGTAGAGATGGCCGTCACTTTGTCACCTCCCACGACGTTCCTAAGCATTTCTAAAAAAAGTCGCGGTAAGATTGGGTTGGAACGCATCGCGGCTAACATTTCTAGTTGCATAGTAGCAGTGCAAAAATCCCGACTGTGTCTCTGTGGGCCCAATCGTGGCAGCGTGGGCCCGAACATAACGAGAACATGCGCGACTGACGGTGCCTTCCTTTGCATGTCTGTCAGTCAGAACTTCCCAGGACTCTTTAACTCGACTACGTACGTGGAGCCGTGCTCTCGTTTCTCTGCTCTGGCCTGCCTGTCTTTGTGTCTTGCACTGTCTGCTCTTCGTGTGTGCACAAATGTTTGCATGCCATTGAGGCTGAGAATCAGTGGTGTACCCATTGGTGCGACTCTGGTGTCCATTACCCAAACTAATGTACGCTCTCAGAGTCACACTTACTTTGCCTTTTAGCCGTCCCAGTGCCACAGACATGCTGGGCTCGTCCGCGGATGTACAGCTGTGGACGAAACAAGCTAGAATGTGCGAACGCATTCAGTTCGAGCGATGCCGCTACCACCTAGTGGCAGTGGGGAGAGCCTTTGTCTACTGGGGCATCTGTTTGATGCACCCTCTCTACTTGCAGACACACACATTTTACACTGATGTGAAAGACGTGTGTATTTGTGCTTTGTACACTTCATTAAAAGTTCAGCCCAACTGGAGTGAAAGCTGCAAGGCCAAGCTTACTGTTCGTTAACTGTTCACAATGTGTTAACACATTTGCAATAGGGTTTCGCTCCAAAGCTTTATGCTTGTGCTTTCATGCATTGTCCGAAAGGATGGAGGCAAAAGCTGTGGCACTGAGGGCGTTAAAGAACAGCAGCAGCTTGGTTTCATGATGCGGATGAGGCGACATAATTAAATGTAGCTCGTCATAAATCTGCTAGCAGGCATAGATTTTTGTATAACGACCATAACATCCTGAGAGATACCCTTGCTGAAATGGAGAACAAATAGGGTAAATTTAAGGAGTAAGCTACTTTCAGTGTGCGACGAAAAAGTTGGAAAGAAATCTAGTTTTAAATTTCGTGACCTGCAAAACTTGTGATCGTAGGGAGGGGCGATACACCAAGGATGATTGTTCTTCCCAGTCAGCGAAGTTTGCTTATCTCCCGTTGTCGCTAAGTGACACCATTTCTGCCGAGGTCACCATTGGCCGGGGCCTGGCAATTACTAAAAGTGGGCTATCTTTCGGTGTCTTCGAAGAAAATAGCAAATCGGGTCAAAAATAGGGGGTGGGTTATCATTCAAGGGTGGAGCATCTCTCTGGATATTACGGTAGTGTCCAGAACAGAGAGAGGCTCCATGCAATGTCATTCCAATGTCATTCAATTCATCCACATTCTCGGCATTGCATCATCGTCCTGTTTTTTTATCTGTACGAGTTTAAATCATGAGTATATGCCCTGCTTCGGGTGCAAGCGAAACCGATGCCACAAGCACGAGCGTGTTGTCTTGAATGGCATTTTGTTTCTTGAGTGCGCGTTCACAGCAAGCCTGCTTAAGGGGATACTAAACCGAAATTTCGAGCTCACAAAGCTAGGCTGGATGGATAGGCGGGACGCTGCAAAACCAAAGAACATCACTCATACAGCGATATCTCTAACGAATCACCATATTTTTGGAAAAGGTGCGTGCGATTGAACACGGGCCGACGAGACAAGTCAGTCATGATTCTCGTTCTCTTTCCTCCTCCTCGCTGCGTCCTGTCGAGCTGGTAAAACAGAAGCGAGGAAAAGATAAAAGAGGCCTCCTACCCTCATTCTAAAATTTTCCAGGAGGACAATGACATCATTGCCCTCGCTTGATCGCGCCCTACTTTTCCAAAAGTATGGTCATCCGTTTGAGATATTAATGTATGAGTAATGTTTTTTAGTTTGTAGCGTCCTGTTCACCGCTTCTGCGACCTTATTTTGCGAAATCGAAATTTCGGTTCAATATCTCTTTAAAGCATTGTGCTTGCTCTTGTAGCTTCTGTTTTGCTCACCCTTATGATGAAACGGAGTATTGCTCACTTCCTGGTCCCCAAGTTTTTTTGTTTTTTTTTAAAGTTTGTGGTAGTCAGTAAGGAACATACCATTGTAATAGTAGTAAGTTGTTCAGCCGCTTAACCGTCTTGGACGGGCCTAGCTTGTTAACGCTGAGTCGTCCCCAAACAGTTCAGGAAGAGTATAGGTCGTCTGCTATTTCCCATTCACGCACACAACTGTTTTACCCGAACAAGACTCACTCATGGCTTAGCTTGCGGCTGCAGTTTTTAAAAAAATTTGCTCCCATTTTGTTTGTGGCTAGAAATTTGATTTTGAAGGCAAGAAATGTAATTTTGGAGACAGCAATTAAGCAATTGGGGTCAGAAATTCCCCCAAAAAACAGTACAGGGGTTAAAGGCTTTTGCAGTGCACTCTTCTGTTGTACAAAAATATTGTGAAAAAAAAAAAGGCTTTATGTATAATGTACAAACGTGCTTGGATCTGCTTGGCTTGTGCATGTTTGGTCTTGTGGCATGTGGAACCAGTTTTTTTTAGGAACCAAGTTGGTTATCACCAATGCTTGCTTTTGCTTCCCTCTCTCCCCTTCCCCAAAACCTCAGCTACCAGAAAACCACCTCAACCTTCAAGACTGCTGGAGAGAAGACCACGACTGCCCTGGGGACACTGGGTGCGAGCGTGTCCAAAAAGCTGGGAGAGATGAAGTAAGCTTCTTGCTCTACTCATTGTAGCAGTCGAGTCTATTTTGTATGGTGCCCTTAATTGTTTGGTTCTTATGTAATTTAGCCATAATTGTGTTGCTTGCATTACAAGCAATTGGGTTACTGGTAGAGCCCTGCGCGAATAACAGTTTGAGTATCCGCAGACTTTGTATCTGCATCGAACCGCATCCGCAAACTTTTTACATTATTGTATCCGTATTCGATCCGCATCCGCATACTTTGTACCGGTATCCGAAACGCATCCGCAAAATGTGGAACCATGTTGATCTCCTTCCTAACCACCACATGTTGCGATTACATTTAGACTAGCAAAATCAGCGGAAACCACGGCGACAGCGGCGTTCTTCCCCGCCGCACGCGGAATCGGAAACTCTCACCTGTGGCTCCTTAACTCTCCCCTGAAGTCTGAACGCCTAAGAAAAAAAGGTCATAAAAAATAAAAGTTGGGAAAGGGAGGAGGAGAAGCAGTGGTAGGAAGACAAAATCCTTTCTGTGATGTTACCGAGGTTATGCGGCCGCCTCGAGTCTCATGGTGTTTCGTGTCAGCCAGCGGGCAGATGCGCCGCTAAGTCAGAGTCCAAGACCTGATTGGTTCAACTAATGTGTTGTTCGAGAAAGATCGCGGCCTGCAGGTGCCCAAATATATATATTAAAAGAAAACATGTTTCTTTTTTTTCTGCTTGGGGCGGTTTACGTAGGTTGCACGCGGCAGCCGCTGGCATTGCTGGCGCTCTGGCGTCGTAACTGGACGAATATGAACTGCCAGACTTTCTTGGCTAGAACTCTAAGCATACAGAAAAGAAGCAGGCAATTTAAAGGCTGCCTATGGGCGTGCGCCGCCGATTCCGAAACTTTGCAAGCCATGGCGCCACAGGGTTGCGCTCGCTGTCGAAGCATTCTTTCGTTTTTGGTAGCATGACCACATCACTCTCTGCGGAGAGGGGGAGGTTTCTTCTACTTTCTTGTGACTTGTTCGTTCGAGGTTTTCTTTGGCCGAGAAAGTTTTCCGCTCTTTCCCTGACAAAGAACTAGCTTTCCCAGCACGATTGATGCCCTGCATTTTTTACTTTTTCTACACATAGCATTTTTGACGAGATGAAACGTCTAACTGAAGCGATCTTCAGTAAAAATCAGATCTTTCTTATGATCCCTATCGTTTCTTTGACTGAATGGACTGACGGACTGAATGACACCGAGCAAAAATTTAGATCTGCATCCGCAGCCCCTGACATCCGCATCCGATCCGCCAAACTCCGTCTAATTTTTATCCACATCCGCCAGTTTTGCTGCAGATATCTGCGGATATCCACAGATATGCAGGGCTCTAGTTACTGGTCTTCGCAATCTTGCTGCTGGTCATGTCGGGAATCGAGTACTGTTTTACTTGCATTTTGAGGCTATTCTTGTAGAATGCAATAAATTGCAGATTTTGTGGACTGTGTTTTATTTTTTTACAAGGTTGAAGTTAAAAAAAGGTTGCACTTAACACCTGGTTTCTTTTGTCACGTAGAACAACTTCGAAGAAATAAGTACGTAAGCAACAATATTCCATTACATGATTGTAGTCACTTGTGCTGGTGTTCCATTCACATGTCACTACCGCTACTGTTGCTATTACCGTATAAACACATGTATGGGGCCACACTTCTTTTTTCAAATTTCGGGGCAAATTTTTTGGGCGAGGCCCGTACACGGATGAAAACAAAATAGTTTCGGATGTGCATAACAAAATTGATGTAACTTGCGATAGCAAGCAGTAGTCTTGAGAGTCTTCATTTCAGTCCCGATCGTCGTAACTTGCGGTATCCAGAGTCTGACCGGCGTCGGCAGTGGCCAGAGTTGCTCTTTTGAGCCGTCCAGTAAGCGCCTTTTCGGAGTTTGCATTAGCCATTTATTTCATAGAATTTCACCTCAACCAAGCTTGCGTCGAGCAGTGCAGCGTACAAGTGAGCCTGCCTTGGACCATGACTGCACGCTTTGTCCTGCACCGTATGCAGATCTTGTAGACGCCGTCTTCGCGACCTGTTGCACGTCTGCCGCACTTCGAGGCATAAGTGACAGTTTGAAAGTACTTGTCCACAGCTCTGAGGTTGTGAGGCCCGCATAAACCAGCTTAGCAGAACAAAACATTCACAAAGCCCAATGGCAACGTTCGGAAACCCGAGTGTCCCATTTCCCAGCAGCTACTATCGCATGGGCGGAAGCCAACCGTGGATGATACAAAAACCATAAAAAGGATAATTTCCACGAGCTTTTATCCCGTAACCTTTCTAATCTGCACTTCAAAACACGGCAAAAGGCACAAGCAGGGACGCTTATATGGCAGGGTAAAGATGGCAGAGTGGAGACGCCGAGCGCACTCCACACTGTGGAGGCAGTCGGTGTGCCTCGAAAGAAAGGGGGGGGGGGGGGGGGATGCGGCTAATACACAAATAATAATAAAAAAAAGTTTTTAATACACTTTAAAGAGGGGGTGCGGCCCATACACTCAATTATATGTGATTCCGTTGCAGTATGAAAGATCTAGTGAAGATGCATTGTTCTTTAAGTGGTTCAGGTTGCTTGCAAGCATTTCATGTGGCATTTCATGTAGCATTTCATGTAGCATTTCATGCCCATTGGTTTGACATTAATTTAAAAAAAAAAAACATGGGCGGTTTGCACACCAAGGTCAGTGTTGGAATAGTCTTTCACCTTATAACAGTGCAGATACAACCAACATAGGATGACAAATTGCAATTGTCCTGACCTATAATCAGAAAAGGGATGGTTATGTCGTATATCATATACTTAATAACCAGGGGTAATGAGATGGAACCAAATAGTATACTGGGCACCTGAGTTATTCAGTATTTGGCTTTGAGATAGTTACCACATATTGGGTCATGGGAAGCAAAACTGCTTTCCAAGTTTGCTAACAGGTTTTGTGAGATCTTGGTTGACTACCTGAGGAAACTTAAATTATTTACCTTTGAAGTGCATAAAGGGACCTGTCCGTAATTGGAAGGTAGATAATTGAGGCAAAATGGAGATGGGAGAGGCAATTGCTTAAGGGGGCACACCCCTTAGGGGGGGTCAACTTTTGAACCCTTGTCTTAAAATTAATGAAATTTACAGGGTAGGCTGGTGGTCATGCTAGAGGGTGTATAACAAAATTTCAGGTCTGTCGGTTAAATGAGAAGGAAATAAGAGTAGCTTCTATCAGCAACACACCTACATTGTTTAGTTAATCTATCGTCAGAAAACTATTGCGATATTAAAGATTTTTATTTGCTAGATATGTAGCAGAATGCCTAGAGGGTGCGGCTATGGAACATTTTTTCTATAAAGTAATTCATTTCTATAAATTTTCTCTTCTGCAAAATTGGTCAACGTTTTGGTCTTCTGTGCCTTCGACAAAATGTCAACATTTTTTACAAAAGACATCCGTAACGTGACAAAAAAGTTCCATAGCCGCACTCATTAAATTTTAGTCAGGAAAAGGGAAGAATGAGCTTTCTCTGTCTTGCCATTATCAAACGATAGATTGACTAAAATGGAATTTATACCAAAAAGTGGAACGGAGAAAAATGTGTTCAAAGTGCTCCAAACCCTACCTTTTCTATAGCTTTGGTGGACAGAAAGTAATTTATAAAAAATTAACTATACAGTGAAAATTCATGAAACTTTTCGGGAATACTCTCTAGATGTTGGTGGATGTAAAGATGTCATTTTTCAAAATCAACTTTTTTTGCAGAATTTTTTTTTTCTGGGCAGTGTCTCCCCTTAAGCTAAACCTGTGAATATTTTAGCTTCTGTGGCTCTCTGTCTCACTCAAAGGGACAGGTCAATTGCTAATTAAAACATTTTGATTCCACCTTTTCGTAGGAACTCTACTGCTTTCAAGTCGGTAGAAGAGAAAGTCGGCAATGTCTACTCCAACGTGAAGGTGGGTCGATTTCCCTGTTTTGTACCCTTGTGGACAAAAGAAACCAGAATGCATGAACGCACTTCATTGCTCACATTAGTGTAACTGCGCGGCAGCACATACAACCTGTGTGCACTAGTCTTGAGGAAGAGCAGCATCCCCTAGACGAAAGATGCTCTTCCTATCATCCTAAGTTGGTATCAATATGTGAGGTGACAGCGTTAACACATTCCAGTTTCTTTCTCCACAACACTTAGAGTCGGCTGCAGTGCAAATGGCCCGTTCTTTTTTATTTTGACTGTGTTCTTTGTGTTTTAGAATGTCTTGTTTTTTCTGTTTCTTTCGTCTCTTCTAGGAGTAATGCCAACAACTCCCAAAAACTTCTCTTTCAGGAGTCGATCTCTTGAGCGAGAGTGCTTAGCGTGTTTTTGCATTCGGTTTGGGAAGTTACAAGGCTCCTGTTCCACAGTTCCGGGCACCGCTAGCCGTTACCGAGAACTGCGGCGCCTCAGCGGCTTAGTTTGATTGCCGCGTTTCTTAGCCGAGGGCTCCTTGGTTGGATATCTGGGACAGCGTTGCAAGACATTTGGTTATGTGTGGGAAATCGTTTTGCTTGATTCTTCTTTTTTTTTGTTATTGTGACAATAAAATGTTCACCTGTGTTTGTCTCGTGCTATGTTTTGATTTGGTTCTAGAGGCTAGATTTATGTTTTAGGCAGTAGTCAAGCCATCCTCAATTGATCATGCAAAACAACTTGCTATCTCGCACTTTCTATTCTTTGTTCAAATCTGTACGTTCTGATCAGTCGAGCCATGCTGGTGGGCAACTTTACGTTGTAGTGTAGTTGAAGGTAGACTTTGTTTCGCTCCAGATCTGCCAGGTTGGGTCACGAGCCAACTTAAAAATGTGATGTAGTGCCCGGATGTGTATCAGTGTGCCAAGACGCACACCAGTATGCACATCAGTTATATACGTATCACTTAATTTCTAATTGGCCCGAGATTAAACCGGATAGTTCGTAGCTTTGCCTGTAGTCAACCGTAGAGTTAAACACGGTATAAAGGCCCTTTTGCTCATCATTGTAAAATGTAAAAATTGCACAAGCTCATGCAGGCATGCACCTCTCTCTTACCTCCATGCATGACGTTCAGTTGGCGACACGTTGAGAACCCAGTACATGCTTGACGGATAAATGCTAACGGCCTGTATTCTTCATAATGGGCGGTAGCTTGCGCCACCTAGCCACAGTCTCTAGCGCGCACTTGTTGCCTTTCACCGGATTTCGGCTGGGAGTGCGTCGAAATGTTTTCAAAGGCGGAAGGCTCGAGGCTGAGCATCAGCCAGGTTCTTGTCCTGTCGCAGACTACGCAGATGGGATTTTGGCTAAAGCTGATGTTCCGCAATTAGTTGCCAACTGGAGACACGCTGCATAGTTGCGGCTTCCAACGAGAGAGAAAAGCCTCTTGGCCTTGCACGCCTTCTCGTTTTAATAGGCTCTTATATTTTGTCGAATCAAAGCCATCTCTCCGCAGAATTGGATGCCGTATGCTCCAATCAGAAAACAAGATGGCCGGTCGCCTTGCGTTGTTTTTCAACAGTGACTTTTCTCCTTTCCCCCTCTCTCTCTGCTTTCCCCCCGTCTTCCTCCGGTTCCAGTCTAAGGTTTCGTCGAGAAGCAGCAGCGTGAACAGCTTCGAAGAAATCGTCGACAACAGGACCGGCAACTCTGTATCTGCCACGCCCACCACAAGCCCAGTTTCCGAAGAGAAGCCGCTGTCCTAAGCGAAGACCTGGACCACTCCGCAACTCGTCTTCGTCGTCTTTCGAGTTTCTGAAATTCCTGATGTTGTTTCTTCCTCCTTAAATCTTTACTCAGTTTTTTTTTTTTTTTTTTTAATTTTTTGAGGTGCAGCTTGTATTTAGAGACACTCCACGCAAAGCTTGCCCTTCGAAACAACGTTTTAAGAGATCTATTTTCATCCGTACTAGTGTAGCGACCAGGATTCCTTTTTACCGAGTCTCTTTACATTCAGTTTTCGCAGCCTGCACAATTTGCCGTTACATTTGTGCAGTCCTTTTCTTTTGTACAGTTTGTTGCCGGTACGGCGACAGTTCTTCAGTTTCTTTTTTTTTAGATAAAACTTGCAAGGAGGTTTTGCTGTCGTGTGAGCCAGATGCAAGGGTTTCAGACTTTGAGCGTTCAAACGGTAGTTTAGTTTCTGTATAGGTTATGTTGCCTGTTTATTTAAATGTCTTTTACCGTTCGAATTGGCAAAAGTTTGGACTGCAGGGCGGTTGAGGTTTTTCAACACGTTTTTCTTTGACCTACAGTTTTACCAACCTACTTGGTAGACAATTTGTGTTCCACCAATTGAAAAGGCCCTTGGCCCGAAAATAAAGCTTGTTCATGCAGCAATTTTTAACGGGATATATTTTTTTAACGTAACCATACGCGCAACATTTTAAGAGGGTCTGTCGTCGCTTGTGAAGATTGTTAATCTAGAAGCCCCTCCCCCCCCCCCCCCCCCCCGACACTTTTCGGCATAGTAGTCCGTACCTGCCAAGTCTTCTCTTGTATTGCCTGGGAGACCCCCGAATTTTGACCACTTCGTACGGTTGTACGATTGACAGAAAAATCTCCCGAAAAACATAAATTAACACCCTCTCCTCCCTGCACTTAAAGGGAAACTCCAGTACATTTTTGCGAGTGGACTTTCAACTATTTTCGGTGAAGAAAGGGTACCCGAGTTATGAGGTGCAATGTTTTTATGCCTTGTGTGGTTTTGTGGGTATCTTATCTCAGTTTTGTTTCGGGGGTCTACGGCGAAACGAAAACTACCGGCTCGAGCATGATGGCAACCCCTGTGATCAGCTGCATGGCCATTGTGTGACGCAAAGTTTGTATCGCTGTACTACAGCAAAACTTGCGACTGACCTAGTCTTAAAAAACATTGTAAAAGAAAAAAAATTTTTTTTTTTTTTTTAGCAGCTTGTGTTTAGTGACAGGTCAAGAACGATGTGGAAGCTCCTCCTACCTCTTTCCACATTGGCAGAGCGAACGGTGGAGAGGAGGTCACCTCTTCGGCTATCGCTCTGCTAAAGTGGAAAGGGGTGGGAGGAGCTTCTTTGTTCTTGGCCTGTCACGGACTACAGATGGGAAAAGGATGTCATTAAACAAATTTATTTCTTAATACTGCAAGCCCTCAATAGGATTAATGCAGGTGGGTACAATATTAATGATATAAAAAATGGCAAAAAGAACAAAAAGGAAACAAGTTATAGTACATATGAACAAATATGGTACCAAGGGAGCCAACTTAAATTAGATGCGAATAATGACAATGATGGCTGCATAACTCTCGGCAAGGTCATTTCACTCGGTAACTGTTTGTGGAGAGGAATACTTCGAGCAATTATTACGCGACTGAAAACGAGTGTTTGTTAGAGCATGCCTTTGTTGAGTAGCCTGTTGAGTATCCTGATGAGAAAGTGATCAATTCAGACAGGTCTACCTTATAATGGCCATTAACTGGTACAAACGTTATAGTCAAGAATGTCAATTTCTTTTAGATAAGGATAGTAAATTAGCTCTAGTTAAAAATTTGGTTATGGAAGTATGCCCAAAGCTATAAAGCGAACGGCCTTTTTTTTGTACTCTATCAAGTTTACTAATCTTAGTCTTAGTGAAAGGATCCCAAATGATTGCAGCATAATTTAAGGTTGGCAGGACTATAATTTTAGATGTGAGAAGACGTAAGGGAGGGGAGAAACTTAACATTCTTCTAAGAGAGAATAACTTTTGCAGAGCATGAGATGTTACATAATCGATTTGCTTTGTCCAAGTAAGATTGAGTAATCCACACTCCAAGGTTGTTTATGTCGTGTGACTTCTGATAGGAAGATATTATTAACATTGTAAACAAACTTTAAACGGTATTTTTTGTCAGTAATTTTCATACAAACTTTTATCGAAGTTAATGGTCATTTGCCAATCCATGCACCATGTCGCAATACTTTTGAAATGCTTTGTTTAATAAAAGTTCATCCGAAGCGCAATCTACTTCCGAGTATATTATGCAGTCATCATTGTACAATTTGATTTTCACAGGAACATCTCGTATTATGTCATTAATAAACAGCAAAAAAAGAGAGGGCCCAGCACAGACCCCTGGAGAATGCCAGAGTCCACAGAAAGTTGGTCAGAACAATGTTCACCGAAAACCATGTACTGTCAACGGTTTGAGAGATGTTGAGATCCATTTTACTAGCATCATATATATTTTCTCTAATCTGTATACTAATTTCGAATGGGAAACCTATTTTTATGGATTTCCTAAGGCCTCCAGCCTTCAGGAAATCCGTAAAGATAATATCAATTTGTTTTCTGTTGTTAATTGCCGAGGAAAAATCGTGAATAGTTTCAATGAATTGAATACATGTCATGAAATATTTTCTAAAGCCATGCTGATGTTTAGACAAAATGTGCTCATCGAAGAATGCTGATAAAGGAGTACATATTATATGTTCAAGAAGTTTACATGCACCTGACGTCAATCAAATTGGACAGTAGTTCCCTGTGCATTGTTTGTTTGTGTTCTTATGAACTGAAATGAATTGAACAAATTTAGAACGCAAATTTTGTTCTTGTTTGCGGCACAAAACAAATTTGTAGTTTGCGCCAGCAGGAGCCCGCAGGAAAGTGATCGCTACGCTCATGTGGTGCTTGTGCTCTTTCGCCAGCTTCCTATTGCCTCTAAAAGTTACTTATTAATCTTTGCGTAAAGTGCAACAAAAAAAAAAAAAAAATTTAAGATTAATAAGTAACTTTTAAAGCCCAAAGGAAGCTCCCGAAAGAGTGCAAGCACCACGTGATAGACCTGTGCGCCAGTCAGAAACTGATGGTGCCGACGCATTCAACCGGCGGCATGCCACGCTCGGGGTGCGGCGGCGGTGTGGGGGTTCTGGGGACTTAAGCGTTGGCGTTGAACGGCTCTGGCATAGTTTGTGCAGCGCACCAACGCACAGGTCTACTACTTCACCAGTGGCAACTCCCACAGGCACCAACAACTAACTCGTTTTGTGCCATAAATATACCTCTGGAATTTTTTTTGTTCCTTGTAAATTAATTTTATGCCATCCCTTTCCTGTCCAGGCTGTTTAGAAAGAAATTATTTTTTTCCTTTGCATAAGCAGCTCCGATTAAAGCCCCTTCATGTTACAAAAGTAGCACATGGTGCGTCGATGCACGAGGCACGTACAGACCTTGGGAAGATCATGGCAGCACAACGATTTCAGATTTCATATGTGATGTTCTCAGAAGTGGCACGCAACACATGTCTAGATTATTTCCACAACAAAGAATGGCGCCACTTCCCCCAGGATAGAGGGGCTTTAGTTCCGATCAGTCGGGTAAGACGCTACGGCAGTTTTATTGCTTTGCTTCACAGATATCAAACATGTAGCAAATATTAATGCATGTTCATGAAGTTGCCAGCCAAAAAGCAAGTTCGCAACGCGTATGCAGGCTCGGCGCAAGCTCAGAATAAGCCCCCACTTATCGTCGAGAAGAACTACGATGCACATTGCATAAGCACTGTGGATGCTAATAGTAAGCTCGTGCTGAGCTAGGAAGGACTAAACTATGGCCGCCGGAGAATACCTCCTTTGGCACCACACCGCACTTGAGCGAGCAGGGAATCGACAATCTTCATGCATGATGGCCAAGGAGCACTTGCCAACTACGGTGGCTAAAACTAAAGTAACTGGATCATGGTAAAGTAGTGCCAAGCTCCCTGTATGGTCGCCATTTTGGGTCATGACATGAGCAATTTCTCCTTGACCTCTCCATTCTCGGTAAACCGATCTAAATTCGCTGGCGACGGGTAGCTTTATCGAGACGTTTCTTGTGTACCGAGATTTTGGTATCCACGCACCGGCGAAACAAGCGTACATCTTCGTACCACTGCCACATGCGGTGTTGGTACTTGGAACCGTTGAAAGATAATTTTCCTGTTTTGAAATACGCAAGAAGAACAATGTAGTTGTAAGAGATCTGTGAAGTTGGGCATGATCGATAAGCTGATTGCATACACAGTGCCAGGCTCTCATATTGGCAGGGAACGCCTTCACTACTATAATGCTCCATGGTGATCCTGGTGCGATTAGATTAGAATGGCCCTCGAAGTTTTGAAGATTGGCCGAAATGGCAGTTGCCATAGCAACGAAAACTGATTCGCCAATCGCCCCTGCGAGGTTTTGGTCGTCTGTATGTTAGTATTTGTGTCTGGAAGGCAATGGCGCTACTTTCCTGGGATCAAGTGACTTTACCTAAAACATGCCATAACGAGCAGAAATCATCTGCTGGGATGGCTGAAAACGCAGCAGAAAAACATGGAGAAAGAGGTGGCAGTGCGAACGAGTAACCTCCTTGAGTAGGAATATGACATCGAGGCACAAAGCTGCTTGACAAACAGCCAATCTGCTGAATGCCCGCCGTGAACCTGGTGGCAGCATTTTTAATAGTATAGGCTTTAGAATGGATGGCGGTTTCCCACTAGTGTAATATTTTGGCAGTGCTCGTTTGCAATCTGTAAATCTATATCAATAATTGTTTTTGGTTCGGCTTGTGATTGGAGTTACCCTTTAAACAAGCAGTTCTTGATATTGGAACAGACGGCGGCATTGATAGCGAGGCCTGGCTGTATCTCGCTAGCATGAGCAGCGCAATACAAATGTGAAGTTTTCTTCAAGTAAATGTATTGTCAATATTTATTTTTATACACCCCCAGCTTAGAAAATCTGGATTTCGTTTCTTCAAACTTAGCAGGTATGGTAGTCATAAAATCGACATAACTACCATCAGAATGATTCATTTTCTTCGCCATGAAAGAAAAAGTTGGCGGCAAGGTGATGACGTTAAGGTATACATGATGATTGAAACCTGAGACTGGTTTGAAAAACGAAAACTTGTGAAGTAGGAAGAAAAAGGGACAGACAACGTCTGTCCCCTTTTCTTCCTACTTCAAGAGTTTCCGTTTTTCAAACTACAGTCTCAGGTTTCAATCATCATGTACAACTTACACCAGCTCGCCTGCACTTTAAGTGTTTTCATTGTCAAGATGCATTTGTTAGATATGCTGTAAGTTAACATTTCTCCGACATAACTATCTTTTTCCTTTGAACGTGCCTTGCTATGTCATAAAACCTTTCTTGAATGACGGCAATTAAGTTTCAATATGATAAATTTGGTAAAAAAGATTTCTAGTATGAGTCTTCAAGTCATTAGAGATTTACAATCATCAATTGAAATTGTAGGTGACTCCCAGTAAAAGATTAAATGCAAGAAGTTTATCCTGCATTCTACTCTCATGAATGTTTTGCTAAAGGAACAGTACTGTAGAGGTAAGTAATATTGAGAAGTGTCAAGAGGTAAATCCGAGCAACACAAAATTCTTTTGAAACCCTTGGTGCATCGTTGGTTGCATTTTTTTTTTTGATAGGCTGGACTGCTACATCTTGTCGCTGTGAGGAACGTTGTGTTTATTTGCGAAAGCACAACACCTTGAGGAATTCTGCGCCACATCTCCTGGAGATGACCACCTCTCCCTTCAGACCAGCTTTGGCCATGAGTTGGCAGATTTCATCTGCAAACAATAGTGTTACAAGCACACTGAGGTACTAGAACCAGTTTCTACTTAATAAAATATGGAGGCAAGAACTGCACCTGGCTTATTCTCCTTGATGACGAGTAGGAAATAGAGGCCACTGGGACTGAGTAACTTCGGCACAAGGGGGTTGAATCTGTCTATCACTTCGCGGCCGTCTTTGCCGCCAGCCCATGATCGTGTCAGCTGCGATCCTCTGACCTGAAAATGTATGCACTACTTTATTTAGTCTTAGATCGAATAAAATTTAAACACACACACACACACAAGTGTGTGTGTTAATGGCAAGCTGGCAGCACTAAACCATACTGGCACAAGAAAAGAAACTGATCGTAAATTTACTCCACGACACAGCAATACTTCATTTCATCTTAAGTTTGAACGCAGCTGATGCTATCAGCTGATAAAGCCAATGAAGCAGTGCTGAAAATGCCATACCACAATGTTCGTCGTCTTTCAATGTGTATGTTATAGTCAGCTTAACTAGTCAAGCGTAAAGCATGTGCCGCGATCATGTGCTTTTCAGCCCAATTTGTGTTTTCTCCGACTTGACAAGCTTGTCAAGGCATAGAGGTGTAAAGGACAAGTTTTACCTCCTCGGAGGCTGTGACAACATAGGGAGGATTGAAGAGGAGGAGGTCTACCTGACCATCGAGGCGCCCCAAGAACGATCCTGCCTGCACAACAAGGTAAGCGGGCACTGCATCATCTAAGGTCTGTTCTAGTGTTGTAAAAGAGCATTACCAAGTCTGTTAACACCGGCTCTATGTTTGCTCCATTGCTCTGACCAGTTCGTTTGGTCATCTCGGCTGCCCTGGGGTTGATGTCGGTGGTACTGAAAATAAGAACGAGCACAAAGGTTGCACTAGAAATGTAAAGCCACACCAATCTTTCCCGGGGAACACGGGAGATAGCTTGGGAGAGCGGTTGCTTCTTTACAACAACCTGTTTTGGGTTTTGTGAGGACCGTGTGTACTTCATGTACAGTACCATCACTTAAAGAGCCACATTTCAAGATAACATCTGGCAAACAGCACAACGACATAAAATGTTCACTGACTGGCACCTCATCAACCTACAGGACCACCTCTTGTCGGAAGTTATGCGGCAGATTTTTAAAATGTATTGCGGACAAGTTTAGAGCTAGTGATTCTCAAAAAACGACTGTATGCAAGTGAGACCATGTTTTTTTGTTGTTTTTTTTTCGAAAAATGAAGATTGAAAGTTGGGTAAGTCATGAGTGTAAAACTAAACGCATATACCCGCAACAAACCTGACCAAATGAGGACAACACGAAATATTAAGCACTGCTGTATTCCTAGCACTATCACTCGGCACGATCTTGTTCGCCACGTAATCACAACACAAAACTTCCACTTTCCTAGCACTATCACTCGGCACGATCTTGTTCGCCACGTAATCACAACACAGAACTTCCATTACCTCCACGTTAGCAAAGAACGCAATCCGTTTGCTATTATTTTTTTTATTTTTTATTTTTATTATGATAGTCGCGTAAAACAGAAGTTTACGTTCTCTAGATGAGAGGCCAGTGAAACATTCAAAGCGCCTAATGATAATTTTTTTAACACATTTTAGCTGATCAAAAAAACTGCTCCGACTTTAGCTGCCGGGTAAGAGCAATGCGCTGCAAGCAACCTGCGTTGTCGGCAAAACGGACACTGGGATCCCCCCCGGGTTAAGGCCCGTTCACACTCTTGCGACCGAGTACGACTGATGGCGAATTCGCGTGGTTCTTTCTGCGCGCTCTCGAGCGCTCTTTCCAGAGCGCGCGAAATCGGGTGGTTGAAAGAGAGTGCTGTGGCCTGATCGGGTGGTTCATTCCGAGGACGCCTCTCCCTCTCAGAGCGCTCAGTGGCACTCCGTCTGTAGCCGTCGGAGTGCGGAGCGGCGCAGGCGTCACGTGGTAGCTGGACGGTGATCACGTGGTTTTGTTGACGATGGCCGGCAGTGGTCTGTGGTGGTGTGCGGGGTCCGGCATGACGGTGATTGATATGTAGTTCTGCAAAGTGCTTGTGCATTCGACGGTGCGAGTATTACAACGGACGGGACGACATTCGTTTGCGACCGTAACAGGGAAAGCCGACGTGTGAACTGTTCCCAGTGCCTTTACAAGATCGTTCATCTCATGGCGGTGAATCCGCTAAGCCTAATCGACGACGAAACAGCTCGCAGACCTGGCTGCTGTTTTACCCGATTTTGTAGTCACTTCAAGATATTTTTGAGGTTTGGTAAAAGTGCTTTCAAAGGTTTGTGTTGTAAAATAAAGGAGAGCCGAATATAATGCACTGTGATTTGTGTCACATTGCGATGCTTGCACAATATTTCGCCGTGAGAAAAATGTGGTTTTTTAACCATTTTATATTCGCCTGCTCAGTCGTACGCATGACCGCTATCGCAGCGCGGTCACTGTCGAAAACGCGATGAGTTGACAACTGTTTCCAAGCGCTGGCTTTCGTTCCGTTCTGCAAAAATCAATTCGCAAACTGTTGTTTTCTTTTTTTTTACATTCCGATGAGTAAAATTATTTACGTCAAAACCGTTATTTCATCACGTTGCGAACATAAATTTTGTTCAATCGTCCACCATACGCTGTAAGATCGTATTGTTTTTAATGCATTACCAATGTCAAGAAATATTAATTCCGTGACTGGTCTGAGAATCTCGGAGCGCTCTGAAGCCAGCAGTTGTGATAGGCTGAAAAGGATCCCGAGTAGCTCTGGCGGCGAGGAAGGGGCGCACTGCTGAATCGAGGTCAGAGGAGAGAGGCGACCACCCGAATTCACCATGAGAGAGACGAGATCTTTTAAAACTTCTTGAATGTTTTTAGAATGAGGGAACACACTGGGCATTGTGGCGCCATCTATGCGGTGACCCTGGAACTGCATTTCATAAGAGCGAAGGTTTTGAGGGATTTCCAAGGTCAAATGTGCGTAATACCCATAGAAAGGCTCGTTTATAACATTCACAAAAGTTTTTCGAGCCAAGAAAGAAAGAATAATGCGCGAGAACTAAAAAAAAAATATGCCGGACCGCCGAGTTTACACTGCTTCCCAATAGATGGCGCCAGTGTGTTCTCTGGTTTAGGAAGTTTTAAGGAACCCAGGTTTAAGAAGTCCCAAGAGTGTGAACGGGCCTTTAGCCACATATACAAATGCAATCACATGCATGAAGCAGAAACAGTGCTTACAGAAAGCAGCAAGTGTTCCCGAGAGCTCGAGCTACAGCAGTGCTGACTATTCCAGATCCGCTGCCGATTTCTAGGCATACCGTGGGCCTGCAAATCCACGGGTAGCAGCTGTGAGTTACAAGTACAACACTACGTCGGACACACTGTTGATGTGGAGACGCCTCTTACTTTCTGCTCAGGATGCTTTCGAGCTTATTTTCCAAAGCGTCTATAAGGAGGAAGCTGTCTTCGGCTGGTTCGTAAACGCTAGAAGCTTCATCGCTCGTGAAAGCAGGCACGATCGGAGTTTCCATCGAAACGTCAACATGATCGCCACGCCGAGGTTTGTTGATACCAGTGTTACTAGACTGGTAATTGTTCGTACGCTGGGTTTTGACGAATCGGCTCGGTGAACCTGTTTGAGCGGTTTACAAAATGTTATAGTTCTCCTACATTTACTACTTATAAAATAATTTACTATTGGGTAAGCTTTATTAGGCTTTTAAGAATAATCAAATTCGTGCATCGCAAACTCGTTGAAATTAAAAACGAAACTAAGACTCTCTGACACTCGTTAGGCTCGTTAGAGTAGCTGTAATGGATGCATAAATATTTGTTGTTCCTCTCGTAACAAACGGCAGCTTGCGCCGCCTGGCCTGGTATATATCAGTGTAAAAAGTTTGCACTAAATATTGTCCTTTGTTAAAGCATTAATCCCAAATTTCGTGTAATATCACACTTTTCTAGACCTTTTCCACCAATCTAGCTTCTAACCTCCTCTTTGTTATTGTAATAATCTTTTCGTCCATGGCTCCGGGTAAGAGCCACCATCCAACAGACCCAGTGCTCCCGAAAAATCTGTCCCCTCCAGGTGAATGGGATGATGACCCGCACAGTTTATAACCAAATGTTCCATTGCTTCCTCCTCACTATGGCATACGGTATACCGTACATAACGTGTTAGTATCAGAAAATTTTACCCTATCTGTCTTAGTTCTCAGGACCCCTGTCCTTGCCTCGAACAACAAAGCGCTCCCTTGTGAGTTATCAAATATATTTACTTTTCTTATTTCTTGCATCTCCAGCTCGACGCTCGCCCTCCCGCGGCGGAAACGGGAAGCGCTTTAGTGAGGGTCCCCGATTCTCCTGCTCAGTAAGCACGGCGGAACTGTTCGCGATCATGGCTCGCGAAATGTAATTTCCTAATGCAAACAACACTCTTCACTGTCCCAACGTAGCGCTGCAGCCGGTCTGGGATTGTAGCTTACTGGAGATTTTTAGTATTGCGCATGGAAGCAAACACAAGCGGTGTGCGTTTACGTTAGAGGTGCGTGCCCCACGTTGTGCGTGCGCCTCATCGCGGTGCCAATTCAAGACCGCAAATTTGGGCACTGCGCACGCGCGGTGTGGAACACGCAAAGCTAACGCAAACAAACAGGGCTTGCGTTTGCTCGTTTGCGCAATACTAAAATTCACAACTGTTTCACCGGCTTCCAACGCCATCGAAAGGTGCTGCAGTGAGCAGGCGTGCAGGCAGGTAGGCGTTCCTTCGAACGGGAAAGGCTGAGATTGGCAAAAGGACGGAGCGTAGAAATGAAAGTAACTAAATGTTATAAAAAGATTAATAGTTAAATACATTTTTTTTTTTTTTGGGGGGGGGGGGGGGGGCGTTTGGTCTGGAAGGATATTGGCGGCGACTTTGGACGTTTTGCCGATTGTCAAAAGTCGCGACTTTGACAGCAATATATACTTTGCCCACAATTTTTCTCATATCAGTTAGAATGTTTTCATTGGTTTTTGACTATTTTTATTTTATTACTTGGTAATTAAAAATGCTGCAGTTGGCACCAGTGATAATAATTAGCACACTTTTGATTGTCATATTTTGTTCGCGCGTTTGAAATTAGATTATAAGCAACAAGTTATATTAGAGCTTGAAAATTACGTATTAAAATATCTGAATTTTAATATTAATATTAATAAAAATCGGGGCAATTAACGCCAAGATCACGAAAATACGCCTTTTAACCATAATAGTCTATCCAGAAACGTATAATTTTGTTTTATTTTTAGCATATGAAAAACTTTGACATCGTTATCAAGATGGACAAACAGTCAAACAATGGATGTAATATAAAGTCCCAAGCTTCACGCGTTGCTATAAAAAACGCACACACACACACACACACACACTTCAGCTGTCTGATTTGCATTCCGTCCTTGGTTGTTGCAGTGAGAACAGCGTTTATTAACTTATACGTTTTATGTACATATTATTAATTATTCTTTTATTATTGTGCTGGGAATAATGTTAAACCAATTAATCTTATAAGTACCCGAAAAAAAAAACATTAAAAGGCCTGCAGTTTATTATTTCCCATGATAACTATCTGAGCGAGAAAAGGCAGCGAGAACGCACAAATATCAGCACTGATTTTCTTCGATTTTTTCAACAACTACAACAACTAGAAATATCAGCCTGGATCGAACATGTATGCCACAAAATGAAGTTTTCGCGAACAACTTCTCTAACTAAATAATTACGATGTGAGACACATCTTGGGTTATGAAGGATCTGAAATTAAAACCTATAACAAGAAATTAAATCCAAAATAGAGATTAGTTTCGGTTTCGCCCCAGAATTAAAACGTGACCCCTGGAGTAAGTATTACGCTAAGCACCGTTTTTGTTTTCAGGACAAAGAGATGACCTGCGCCCATAACACCCTAGCTCCCCGTATTACCAGAAATAATTTGTGTCACTCAGTGAAGCCAGCACACTAGACAGGCTCAACAGCCGCACGCATCTCCGACCCTCACTAAATCCTCCATTTTGGAAAATGAGTGGCGCCACCTATAGTTAGTTGGAAGTGTATTTTCAGGGGATCTTGTTTGTCGTTGTTAAAAAAAACATTACTCCAGATTCGTCGTTACTGAAATTTAGGTTCAGCATGTCCCCCTCCCCTCCACATATCCCCATTAGTTCTTGCGATGACTCATGGCATTCTGCTAAAAGCGCAATGTCTTCTGCGTACATAAGCTCAGGTGTATATTGCCTCGAGTAGGGAGGCTCTAGTGAGGGTGGGCGCAACTCAAAACCTGGAGAGCGCTTGCAATATAATGGCGGCGACTGAGGGAGAGGATTCGAGAAAGGATATGCGCCAGTGTTGCCTGCACGAGAGCAGGCGCCCGCTCTGTTGCAACCGTTGCAGCTCTGTTGCTCCATGCGCCTTTCCTCCTCTCGCCTCCCATTGCAAGCAACGAGCGCCTTGGCACAGCCTCTCTCGCTTCCTTCTCGCTCCGAGAATTGCAAACGTCGAGCGGAGAAAGCAAGGTTGCCAGACAAGCAGCAACGGCCAAGATGGCGAAATTTACCATTTTTCGCGTTAAAAAAATACTTAACCTATCGCAACAAAACTGGTGGCTATGGAAAAGTAATCATTTATACCTTGCGTAAATTATTCAAGCACCTTAATGAGCTATTATGACCTGAGTTAGGAAAGAAGACGACCCTTTGCCCCATAGACTCCCAGCAAAATTTAGCAATTAAATGGCGTCCATGTCCCGTGATCGCCGATCTAGCAGTTGCTCCCACCCTCACTTGAGCCTCCCTAGCCTCGAGATTGAACCGTGTCGCCACCGTGCGGCCGAAATTGGAAACGCGCGAAAGCGGGGATACCGCCGTGCGTCATCTGCTACGGGCGCACGCTCAGAAGCATGGATCTCGACGACCCAAGCCCGTTTCAGGCTGAGCTTGACATTCCTTATTTAATGTTTTATGTTTTTGTTGCCGTTTCTTCTTACTAAAGGTTGTGTGGTATCGTTTCCCGTGCGTAGAAATTCAGCAAAGCGATTATGATTTAAGTCGGAAGCTTCCATAACCTTAGTGTGTTTGCTTGTATACAATCACTGGTCCCACGTATTTTTGTTATCTCGCACAAACCATGGCTTTCATAATGCATTGAATGTTGAGTAGGTCTGTGGTTTGATTAGAAATTTAACCCGACTGATCGCTATCCTTTAATAGACTAATCAATCAATAAATCCGTATGTTGATTTTTCGCCGGTCATATTGCGTGAAAGACGTTAAAACTACACATTTTTTTACTAGTTTTACTGTGCCATAAATGGCATATTGCATTCCCATTCTAAACTTCATGTTGTGAGTTCTACATAAATATGAACACGGGAAGCCTTTTAAAATGAAGTATTTTTTAAGTTATTATTTAAACAGTATGATCACCATCGGTGAAATGACAAGCACGCTGAAGTGGTTTACCGTGCAAGCCAGTGTCACAAAAGAAATAAAGATGTGAAAAATATTAAAGCAGACATTTTTTACTCCTTGTTGACTTTCTCCAGCATAAGACTCCAATTAACGGGTAAAACAAAATTGCAATTAAAGCATTACTTGAATAATCTGAAAGTTAATCGATGAAGTCCCGATATCCTGAGGGCGGAGGGCGATTGGAAAGTCTCGTGAAGGTCACTAGCCCTCATCAGTAAAAGAGTATCACTGCGGCCGATGCTGTCTGTGTCGTGGTGCGCGTCGTTTGTTGGGGTTGCAGAGTCTACTGTGTTTGAATACAAGATTATTTAGCCAGAAATTTATAGTATTAGCCTCTTGACATACGCGGCCCTCACCAAGAAAATTGAAGCGGGTGAACCCACACTACCGAGAAAAGCATTTCATAACAGGAACATTGCTGCGTTGCTCGGTTACACCAGTTTATTACAGTCATGGCAGATATATTAGAACAGTTTGTTTCACTTGTCCCGCAAACCGTGCAGTTTGCAGATCTTAACTAGTAGACACACCCTGTCCTCATCGCAACGCAGTAGATTTGTTCAGACTCCAAAAAAACTTGCCCACACTATGGCACAGTAAAAGGGCAGAGGAACTCAATAGCATGGTAATTTCTAATACAGCGCAAACTTATCTTCAGTCTAAATATTTATATTACTGCAGAAGCTAGAAGTAAAAAAAAAAAAGCATACAAGCTTCGATTTCGCAGTATTATGTTATCTGGGTTGGAATTTGTTTTTTTTTTTAATTGCCACGTCGATGAACCGATACATTCATTTTAAAAGAAACAAATATTTAACATAAATATTCCAGTTCAGCCGGAGACAGGCATCAGTCGTGGTGATCCATGCTTTTCAACGTCTGCCCACTGCAGACGACGCGCCCTCAGAAGCGATTATATAAATTTAGGCCGCACTTTGGCAACACGATTCGATCTTCACCGAAGCACCGAACAGTACCGCATCCTTTTCCGCTAGAATTGTTTTCCCACCGATAGTATGCGACAAAATAAACGCAAGAATATACGCCGTCTCGCGCGCGAACGTGGAGAGCCTATGGGGCTATAAAGATCATACATACTAACTCTAGAGGAAAAGGCCCGCCATTTTCCCATACATTCTGGTTGCCGCAAGCGGCGGAGCATGCAGGCAGACCCTCGGGGTCCCACACATGGTTACAACATCAGAGCAGTTTCATGAACTTCAAAAATCCACGAACTTACTGGTGGAAAGATATTCGCGTTCCTTTCGAAGCTTTCTTTTTGCATAGCGCGCAGATGTATACGGCCTCGTGTTAACGCTAAACTAAACCATATACCCGGCTTCGCAGGTGGGGCGCGGGTGGGCGCGGTTGAGGAATACGAAACTGCGCAACCACCAGATTTCCGAGATTTCGACAGAAGGGAAGTTAAAGGGAAGATGGGGCACTTCCACATTTGAGAAAAAACGCTTGAATTGCGTTAATTTGGCCTTTAGAATAACAGATATCAAAATTATATTTCAATGCGACGCGCCGGAGAGCCATACGAGCAATATGAAAAAGGCCTGAAGCCCCGCCTCCTAGCCTTGGGCAGCCAAAAGAGCCGTCGATGACGTCACGGACAGCGACTGTCTTTCGCGTTTTTCTCGCGTTTAACAATACTTACGCAGCAAATGGTTTGGGTATTCGGGTTCACGGGGTAAAAATACACTAGAATTCACTTCCAACTAATTTTTTCCAAGAAGCTCCGTAGCTTCCCTTTAAAGGGGTAGGGAAACGAAATTTCAGTGCTCATTTTCTGGCTTTAATGTGTTGCATGTTGCACCCTAACCTCAAAAACACCAGTCTTCCGTTGAAAAGCACAAGAAAACTAATTTTAAAGCTAAATAAACGATCTTCAATGTGCACCTGGTGGATGCATGCGGAGCCTGTTTGGGAGGTAGTCTAGCAACGTTGTGGAAACTGCTACGTAGTCGTGACGTAGCAGTTTCCTTCAGAGCAGCGCCGCTCTTTGGTATTTCAACATTTTCCTTCTTAGCTTTCCTCCTCAACTCACAAGTCGCGCATTGTACCAAACGGTTCAAGAAGACAGAAAGGAAGGACTTCCCTCTTTCTCTGACCCTCGTTCGTGCAACCGGACATAGACATTCTCCCCCTAGAAGATTAGCACGTCGCTCAAAACTCGAACAAAAGTTGCTTTCCCCACCTCGTTCAGCCCTAAGCTGGCAGTGTTGTGGAAGCTACGTGCTCCTTGGGCCAGACACGCTTGTCACCCCACGGGCACTTCGAGCGGCTCGGTTGTAACGCGCTGACGCTATTGACACCATCACAACGCTGACAACGCCACCAAGGGCAAAGCTCATAACCACGCCTGCCTTGCTACTCCACGAACGCGGGAAATCTTTTCTTTCTGTTTTTGTTTGCGCGGGATATCCCATGACGCATCACGCTCTCCGTTCGCTTCTCCTCGAGCGCTTGCTCGAGTGCACCGTTTGGAACGAAAAATATAGCCAATCGTTCAAAATACAAACGTGTAAAAATGGGTGTGTGTAAAAATGGATTAATATAGGTTTTCGGGTAGATAAAACGTTAAGTCGTTTGTTTTTTGTGCGTGTGTTGTGTGTGTTAATGGGCTTAGGCTTTCCAGTGTGTTTGGCGGTCGGGTAGTGAGGGGTCAAAGAGAAGGGAGGTGCATGACGCAGAGTCCGTTGTCCTTGTATTTAGTCAAAGGTTACACTGGTGGAAAGTGTCATTCTTTGGTTCCTCTCCCCCTTTTTTTCTTTTGTATCGAAGTTCCTATATAACCAGATTTCGGAAAACAAAAATTTCAGCTGTGTAAGAGACTTTTTAGCGTTGCGTCGTTTACCCGCGGTCTCGGTTTTTTTTTCAACCATTTGAAATTTTGGAACTCGGCCCTTGTGTGTGACGAGTTTAGGACCCCTGAACTCTATGGATCGCGCATCCCGGCCGCTTGTTCGCTGCAGCGCGAATGCAGCTGCCGGACGGCCATCTTGCATGCAGAAAATTTTCGTTTTGCTAGCGTTGCAGAGCCCGGCGGCAGCGTGCTAAAGATACGTTTCCTACTCGCTCGTCGTCATTTACCGAAAAAGCTTTTTTTCTTTTATTCATGTAAGCGGTGATACTTGCCGTTCAGAATACGTAAAAAATTACCCGTGCCCAGAGTAGAGGGGCTTGAACTAAATACGATAACAGCGCCATCCTTTAGTGACGAGTCAAAACACGAAAGTTGTTTATATAGCTACTGCGAAATGACACTGTGAGATGGCGCCACGAGCCCTTGCGCGACTCCACCCATCCCCGCTGCTGGACCACTGGACGACCATCTTGCATGCAGTTCTTTTTTTTTTTTTGGTTTTGCTAGCGTTGCAGAGGCCGGCGGCAGCGCGCTGAAGTCACGTTTTCTACTCGTTCGTCGTCATTCGCCGAAGACGTTCCTTAAGATCCCGTGTGCGCCGCGATACTTGCCGTTAAGAACACGTGGAAATTTTTACGAAAGCGCAGTGCCGTAGGAAAAAGGTACAACTCGTTGAAATCAAGTTTCGTCGGTATCGCGGCGTGTTCAAAGCTTCCTTGGCACGCCGAAGTGCTGTGCACATCGTGCTGTGTGCATTGCGAAAGCACATCGCTGCATCTTTGTGCCTTCGCACAAAGATGCAGCGGTGTGCTTTCGGATGACAAAACCACACGGCGTCGATTCTTGATCGGTATCCAAGCGTGCGAAGGCAGAGAGACACAGGACTTCGGCGTGTCAAGGAAGCTTTGAACACGCCGCGAGACCGGCGAAACTTGCTTTCGACGAGTTGTGCCTTTTTCCTGTGTCACTGCGCTTCCGTAAAAATTTCCACGTGTTCTCAGCGGCAAGTATCACGGCGCACACAGGATCTTAAAAAAATGCTGAACCGAAATCTAAAAAAAAAAAAAAAATGCTAAAAGCGGCTCAGCATTTTTCACCCGGGTGATAAGCGATGCAAAGTTCTATATACCTATTGCCGAACAGCATAACGTTCAGTCCAAGGTTTGGTCGTAACATTGTTGCGCGTAGAAAGCTTTGCTAGCGTTGCTTTTACTGGGAGCAAGGGTCGGTTTATGCGTATTACGCTTACTTGCACGTCCCGTTACAACGACGTGGTAGGGAGTATACTATAGGGGTGTTTGGTACGGTTCTAAATCATTCTTTCAGCTAGTCTAATTTAAGCGTTTCCAGTTAGTGCCCGACAGCGCGATCGAATAGAAAGCAGCCGGCAATGTTGCACGTCGCGCTTTGTTGACGCTCGTCACGGGGAACAAAGGCCTGCCAGACACGTACACTATCCAGTCCGAAGCGATTCGGCGAAAGGAAACATCCGAAGGAAGGTGAGAATGATAACCAGGGTTCTGTGTTTTGGACATTTATTTTTCTTCGAAGTCGGCCAGTGTTTCAGGGTTTATTTCGCCTACCGATTGAGCATAGTACGCTCCTTGGCGTTTGGGAATCGCCAAAATTAACAACTAAAGGCAGCAAGCAACTTTTTTTTTTTTTCGTCTGTTGTACGTGAAAATTTTCATATACTAAGACTTTGTATCAAAACATCTTTCGCGATAATATATATATATATATATATATATATATATATATATATATATATATATATATATATATATATATCGGTGGCCATCTTTACATTTGGAGTTATATATTATGCTCAGAATGCAGTAATTAAGATCGCTTAAACTTGACGTCACGACGTCGCAGCGTCAAGTCGTGTTGTGAACGGACGTCACTTTGCACGGTGTCACGTGCCAACGGCGTCTAAGGCTTCTGGCAACGCGACACCTATTGGAAAGAGGATTATCGACGTACAAACTGTATATCCCGTAATAAAAAACAAACAACAAAAGCCGCATGCGGAGATTAAGTTTGTCTGCTTCTTGCAAGCTGAACTACAGTCTGTTCCTTTGTCTGCTTCTTGCGTAGGAATTGGAATGACGTCAGCACGACGCTAAGTTCTGATTAAAAAAAAAAAAAAAAAACTGTGGGTAGACTTTAAAGCATCTATACTTCGTCTCATCCTACGATGGACTAAAGGCCAAAGCTACGGGCAGCCAGGTCCAATCATGTTCCACGATGAACTATGACATGCTTAACATTGATTAAGGATGACCGAATAATACTCCTAATCAAAATGCGCTGCATCATTTCTATAGCTTCGACACTGCAAACAGCCTGTATGTCGTGGCTTTCTTTGCAAAGTAAAATTGATGAGTCACTCAGTAAGGTTCATCGAAGCGAAATACTAGGCAATTTCTAAGTGGTTCGTGATTGGGTCTGGTGGTTCGTAGCTTTTGCCTTTAGTCCATCATAGGGTGAGACGAAGTATAGCATTGAGGTCTACTTACTATCCTGTCAATCAAAGGCAATCGGAGCTCAGCGTCGTTCTGACGTCACCACGACACCTGGAAAGGAAGCAGACGAACCTGCGCTCCGCCTTTCGCATTGGTGTTTGACCGCTGCCAACGCTGCGGTCTTATAGAGCCAATCAAGCAGCGTCAAAAGTGCATCGTCACGGCGATCGTCGTCTTTGTTCGTTTGCTATCACCGGCTAAACCATTCCCACACAGAGAAAGGAAAAAAAAAGAGGCAGGATCACTCTGCGTTTGGTGTGCGTGGTTGGCGTAGCCAATGATGGCGAATGCACAAAGACGACGTGCGTCATGTCGATCCACTTTAAGCGCTGTTTGGCTGGCTACCTTGGATCGTATACCGTTGGCAGTGGCCGGACTTAATTTTAATGGAAAAGATAGCATGGTCGTCTGGTTTCTCATCTCGGATTTTTTTCCAAGGTGCTATCTCAACTTTGCGCCGAAGGATTCGTGCGGCATGCATGTGCATAGCGATAAGGCCTCTAATCTCCCTGCCGTTATCTAGGTCTCCTTTACGACCCGAGGGCATTTATAGACGGGTAAGATGAGGCGTGCCGCCGTACTCCATATGGTGTAAACGCCTCCTGCTTCATTCCTTCATTTCTCCGAGAGCTTCCAGTCTCGCCAGTTGGCAATGTAAGCGGTTTTTTTTTTTTTTTTTTTTTTGTGTGTGTATGCGGGTCCACATCACAGGAGCGAATGACGTTTTAGCGAAAAACGGGGGCGCACGTTAAACCATCTGCCGCGCTGCGCTTAAGCCGCTTCGCGGCGACAGTCTGCGGCGGCTCATTAGAAAAATAAGAACCCATTTGGCCCACCCGAAAACCCCGCTTCGCGGCGTCGGACTATTCGCTAAAGTGTCATTCGGTAAAACGTGGGCGTTCGCTAAAACGTCAGTCGATCAAGTGAATGCCTCCCGTGTGTATGCGTATATTTAAAGATCCCGTGGGAGTTACCCGGTGCATGAAAACATTCGTGCAGCTTAATTAATCGTTATGAGGCATTTGACTACTGTTGCCTGGCTACGCTACTTCTCGCGGTATCTAAAACGTGCTTCGCTCAACAAAAAATATGCAGGGTGTGTGAAATACACAGGCTCAATCTAAAGTGGACCGTAAAAATCGGCGCCTGCACGTAGCAATCTAAACTTTTCGTCAAAGGTGTTTTCGCTGATCGGGTTTATCGTGCAAAATTACAAAGCGTAGCTCCTTTTCTGTTAAAAATAGGGCCAAAAAACTTGCCAGGGTCAACGGCGACCGGCAACGCAGACGACCGAATGAAGTGGCGTGGCGTGTTTGGCTCACCTATTGATAGATGGCGTCGGGAGCAGCGTCGGAAGGTGTAGCCGACGGGCGAAGAAAGCAGACGGAACGCAGTAGAAATCCGTCGGCAGCAAGAACGCAGTCGTTCTGCAACCGCGTTCTTTCCTATTTTCTTTACCTTACATCTCGCTCGCATTGTCCGCATTTTTTTTTAAACCAAAGGTTAACTTCAAAAAGATTATGATAATTTTAATAGACTACGGTCGTCGCGAGCAGACTCGATTAAGGTGTCTGTCCTTGGATTCGTAAGGACGTAGCGCCATCTATGAACACGTGCGCCAAACGTTCCCCACCACTCGACTCCTCTGCGTCGCCGGTTTTTTAGCCCTATTTTTTTTTTTTTTTACAGAAAGGGAACTACGCTTTGTTATTCTACAAGGCTATACTGACCTGTGAAATATTTGACGAAAAGTTTAGATTGTTACGCGCAAGCGCCGATTGCGCCTAAACAACCCGATTGCGCCAAACAAAAGTCATCACGGGAAACGTGATTGTATTAGACCGGTGCAGGTATAATTAGCACAAACGACTTATGTAATTGTCAGTCAACGGTAGGAATGATATTATTCACATTTTTCATACATAACACATAGTCACTAAGGAAAAGCAGGTGCGGCGAGTCCAGCCAATGGGTTGTGGCATTTGCCGATAAGAACCCCAGACAGCCAATCACGAAGTAAGGGGGTAAATTAACATAATAGGCCACGCCCCGCAGTTCTTAAGCTGTCAGTGGCCATAGTAAATGCCAAGATCGATTTAGTCTTAGTTTATACACAGGAAGTTCGTCTAACGACGGTGGGATCGCGGTGCGACATGTCGCATTCTGTGCTTTATAGATGATTGACCTCATTGTTTTTTTTTTTTTTTTTTTTGCTGTCGCCATTGAATGGCAGTGCATGGCTATTAGGCATCAATCTTCTTTATGTATCTGACAAAATTAGGATTACTTAAAGCATCACGGGGCTAAGCGTGTGCTGATGACTATGCTGGGTCCATCGCAGGGTTGGGCAGAAATACTCAAAAATGTATTTGGTAATACAAATACTGTGATACATTAAAATAGTAGCTAAATTACGGATACTAAGATATATGAGTAAAAATGTATCGCGATACGTATCGGGAATACATTTTAAAAAGAGGAAAAAAGTATTTGGAAATACAAATACAGGAATACATTTTAGGGAGGGCAGAAATACAAATACAGAAATACTGGTAGTGCAATACATTTTCCAAATTTGTTTGAGACGCCAACTGAGCTGAAGCTTGAAGTTTGAAGTGGATGTTTTCGATCCCAAAATTACTTTCCTGTAGGCTTGGCACTTTGCCTTAAAGGTAGTGGTTTCGGAAGGCAAGAAGCCTTCAATGGGCCCAAAAAAACGTTCCATCAAGGGCTGACCGCGGTCCCTTCCATGACATCGTGTCTGTCTGATGAGGGAGGCCTGTCAACATTGATCACATGACATCACTGTGATTGAACTAGTATTCTTTATCTGTAGGTGTGGCTTTGAACATGAAACTTTACTACGCTGCTGTATGAAAGGACAATAGGTAATTTCGTTGTAGGTTACCTAGTCGAAGATCGTGCATGCAGTGCCATTTGGAATTTTCGAGAATAGTGGACCACCTGAAGCATCTTGGAATACATGTATATCTTCTGTTATGGTTGAAGAAACGATACGGTAGCATCCCTGTTCTGAAGGTCCTTACTGCCGACTTTCCGCCACCGACGCACGGATTGCAGTCCTCAAGTTTGGCCTAGCATTATCCAAACAGAGACCTCGTGGATTGCCAGCTGATATTGCCAGCACAGGCGCGAGCTGTCCGAGAAACAGCGGTCTCGAGACGAGTCGCGGGAGTACGTTGTCTGGGATGGCACAGCGAGGCCGCTTCTGGCCTGCTTCTGGGTTTCGGATCACCAGAGCAGCGGGTCATATTCACGTCGGCTGATGAGGTATCCTCGAGCCGTGCAATGTTACGGGCGCAGCCGCAGATGCATTCGAATATGTGTTGAACTCAGTCTTGTACACGTTACTAAAAAAAATTATTCGATTACAATTACTATTACTCTTGGCTAAAAAGTATTCGATTAGATTACTTGATTACTCGACGGCAAAAGTAATTGGACATTACTTAAAGAAGAAATCGTTACTTTTCCGATTACTTTATAGTGTGAAGAAAAATCTTCAGCGCTCATAACAATGAACTACTTCCAACCTATATTTCACATTTGCACAAGTATTGTGAAGGTGCAACACCTTCACAATGCGGGCACAAGCATAGAATTCGTTTGAAGACGTTTAATGATTTGGGCGTTCGCCAGTGTGTGTGTGTGGGGGGGGGGGGGGGGGGGGGAGCGGAGGGGGTTCTAGATCTCAAAGTTTGCGTCGCTCATCTTATTATTCACATGTGGATGAGCTCGCATGTTACAGAAAAGAGCAGCAGCTCCAGGATTTGAAACGGATCATGTATAGTATTCATTAGCGGAAGAGATCGCCCCGACCAGTTCTCAACTCGAAACATTGCTTGTCACAAAGACACCGTAGGGGAAATGGGGAAATATTTCAACTGCCTTTGTTATATTTTGCATCCGCTTTAGGCATTCTTCGGTTCTGGTTCTCCTACAGGCTGCGAGTAGGTACCCTAAGCAGGATTTTTTTTATTTTTATTTCTGTGTGTGTGCGCGTGAGGGGGCTACTTTGAACGAAGGACTCACAAAGCTACATTCTGCTTCCTCAAACTTCGCCCTGAATGGCCTTTGTCACGCGCTGTAGCTTCCCTGGGGCTTCCCACTCCCAGTCCCAGCTCGAAAAAATAAAAAAAACGGACATTCCACAGAAACTGTACATAGAAAGAGATTGACCTCGTTTCCTACAGCTCCGCATAAATCTTTCTTTTTTCCGTTAAAAGAAAAAAGCAAATTTTATTTTTGTCATTTCATAAAAAAAAAGGCGTGTGCCCGGGGGGGGGGGGGGGGGGGGGGGGGTCCCGTGGACAAATTGTAATGGTTACAAGTAATTTTATTACTTCAAAAAGTAATCAAATTACTCTAGTGATTACTGCCTAATAAAAGTAATCAACTGATTACAAAATTACTCCAAAAAGTAATCGATTACAAGTAATTTGATTACTTGTAATGCGTACGGTACAAGTCTGGTTGAACTTCATAGCGTGAGTCAAGTCAACCACCGCCAGGCTCGTGCAGCAACGGAATGTGACTCAGCTTTGCCGGCTGGGTGTACTCTGTACGCTAAGGTGAGAGAGACGGTTAGCAGCGGGCATTGGATGCCAGCACACAATGACTCAGGAAATCCCTACCTAAGGACCTGCGGCAGAAGATGCTCCGACTCCACTCCTGGCACGCCACCTGGTTTGAGTCCCCGACTACGCAACACTTCTCAGAAGAGAGAAGAGACGCATAGAAATATAGTTTGCAGAACCAAAAGGAACCTTGGTCAGCATGGTAACAATGCCCCAGCATCTCATTGACTCTGGTGCCCTCAAGGGGGGGGGGGGGGGGGGGGGAGTATTGTCAAGAAATGTAACGAAATACATTTCATCTTGATTGTATTGCGATACAAAGAAATATTCCAAATGTATTTCGATACAGGAATACAGATACTGGTGAAAAAAATGTATCGCGATACAGAAATACAGATACGAAATGTATTTCTGAAATACTATCGCGATACATTTGTATCGCGATACTGCCCAACCCTGGTCCATCGTCGGGATGGCACCCCCTTTATGGGCCGAGAAGAGTACGAATCTAATCGGTAAGGGCAATGAGTTCTAGACCTTGTTTCAGCTTAAGTCCAGACTGGTCCAGACGCAGCCGACGCTACGAGACAATAAGGAGTATTCACTGGACGCCATATTTGTGGGTGCTGTTTAGAGCGCATGCTCAGAACGAACTCACATTAAGAGGTTGGTAAGACCGGCAATCTTGATGGTGTGAAATGCATGTTGCAAAAGGACTGTGAAAGCTCGCCATCAACACGCGCTCAGCAGTCGCGCACACGGCTATGGCCGCCAGTGAATACTCCCTACAAGACCAATCAAGCAGTGCCAAAAGCGCAAGTTAGAACTTAGTAGGCCTTTTCTGTTTATAATTGCACCAGCGACGATAAAATACGTACAGAAACATGACGAACATCATGATGGTGCGCTTTTGATGCTGTCTGATAAGTACCATCAGCTCGTAGCGTCGGCTGCGGTTGAACTTAAAAAGGCGGCGCGAAGATTTTCGGACCCAATTAATTGCCGGAATCGATCTGTGTCACCCATAAAACGAAGAGCAGAAAACCAAATCGAAGGTCAAAGTGCCCTTCACCTCTCCACATCCTCTTTCGATCGACGTACTCTGGGGGATCACCTGGTTTCCCGTTCGGTTTTCTCTTCAGAGACCCCAGCTGCTTCCTTCGGGATTGTCGACTTTTCAAGTATTAGCATCGTCCATGGTCGCGGCGAGCGATCGGCAAATAATTCGTTCTTCTCTTTGCGATTACGCAGCGAAATATCAGTTTTACAAGACAAGGTGACGCGTTTTTTGTCACTTCTGCTTAGGTAAACAATATAAAGAATACAAACTGCAAAACTTCTCAACAATGGAATCGTTGCACTAACCCCTTCCCTAATTCCGGTCGAGAACGAAACCAAAATAAATTACTGGTATCTCTTTAGTGGCACGAAATATGATCACAGCCGAAATATTACCTCAAAACGAAGCTGCGAATCCCACTAAAACCGATTTTAAAGATGCGACTAGCTGCTCTCCAGCGGGCGTCAAGCGGGTTAGCTTTTAGTCAAGCAACACTGGAGCAGTACCAGTTTGACGTCACGTCGCGGCCGTACGTCTGCTGATCCGTGTTGCCATCCCTCTAGCAGATGGTTTTGGTTTTTCCGTAGACGCCCGAAAGCAAACTTTGAGCCATGTTACATTTATAAAACTGTGCGAAATACCGAACAAAAATAATTATACCTTGGAATTCGGAGATGCTTCCTTAGCTGAAAACAGTCGTGGTCCCCAAATTCACAAATATTGACCGAAGTTGGCTTTTAAGGTGAAACGAAGTATAGTAAATCATTTCGATACCTCTGGTAACGAGACGATACAAAAAATAATAGTAACGAAATACGTTATTCGTTACTGGCAAATAAAAGGAACGTGCTACCGTCACCGTTAACGATGAATGGAACACACGTTACTTTTGCGTTACCTTTTCTTTATGAAACGACAACGTTTGTCAACACTAACAAGTGGCGCATGGCGCAGTGGTTTTTCTAAAGTTTGAGTTTTGGCGTAAGGAGCAGAGTGGCAAAATTTTGAAGGTATCTGGAATGAGTGCAAGAATTCACATAACTTGGCGCCTTAAAACACACACACACACACACGCACAGACACACACACACACACGCACTCACACACAAACGCACACGCACACACATACACACAAATTTAGTGTTATTTTTTACAATTATTGTGAACAAGACGTAACGACAAGTTAACTACGTTACCCGTTATTCAATATAAGTAGCGTAAGCTACTTATACGTTACTCTTCTAAAAAAAATAACGAGTACGTTACTACGTTACCGGAAATGCAACAGGTAACCGGTAACGAGTTACCACCAACCAGGGTGGAAAATCGAAATCCAGTTGATTTAGATCGTGATTTAAAGCATGATTTAAAACATGATTTAAATTAATTGGGCCAGTTTTACTGCGATGATTTAGATCGAGCCTTTCACACAGAAATGATAACGGATATATATATATTTTTTTATTTGCCGTTTCGCTATAATTTGATGTTTTTATGTGCATTTCTTTGGGTTCTTCGATCATCGACCGAAAGAGAATTTATATCAGAATCATCGACCAGAAGAAAATTTATATTAGGCTAAACAGCAGTAAAAAATCAATGTGCTTCGGAACGAATCAGAGCGTTGAGGTTTCCGACCTACTTCGTTCGTCAGGTACGTAACGTCCTACTGCAAGCAAACCAGAACGCGAAAAAAAAAAAAAAAAAAACAAGGACTAGAAAAGTAATGTCCTACTATTGCAAGCAGATCAAAACGCAAAAGAAAAGGCAAAAAAAAAAGCTGTATAAACTAAGAAATGAAGCTGTTTGTGTTCTAGCACGGCCTGTTTTACGTCAATAAGAAGTTACGAATCAAGGTGTGCTTTTAATTTACAGTAATTATTTCTTCTGCTTTGTCGTCACTCTCAGATTGGACGGATATATATCTATCAATCTTTCATGTTTAAAAATGCCTCCAGTAATAAAGAATCACTGTTTTCTAGGTACAGCGATTTGAATAAAATAAAGGTCTGACTTAACTAAAAAAAATCTGGTTTACATAAAATAAACTTTATTTACTTAAAAAGATTAATCGTGATTTTTTACCATTTCATCGCCAACACTGCAGGGGAGCAACGGGTATCGTTCTTGAAGTTATCAAAACGATCGACTAAAACTTTCTGTAGGGTGCTTCCGTGCCAACGTCATTTCGTCCACCGTTTTGTTGTTATGAGCAGTCTGGCGTGCGCAGAAGGTGAGCACTCCAAAGATTCACATCACACCCTCAAATTGGTAGTGCACAAAAACTTACAAGTTTCATCATGCTGACATCGAACAACAAAATGGCAGATTGGCGTCACGTGAAAACAGCGCGTTTGCGTGTGCATCCTGCAGATATTTCGGGTATCGTTATCGGAGGTAACGGAGCACACTAATAGAGAGTTTTAGTAGATCGTTCCCATGACTCCGATAACGATACCCGATACTCCGCCACCGCCTCCCTTGCGCATGCATAGTATCGTTATCGGGGCTATCGGGGGTATCGGAACCTATCTACTAAAACTCCCTAATAAAACTCCCTATTAGGTAGCTCTACGGTCGTTCCGATACCTTCGATAACGATACTCAACACCAACACGATGACGCGAAAAGTCGTCTGTGGTGTATCAGGTATCGGTGTCGGAGTTACCGAAACAATCTGATAAAACTCTCTGATGACTAATGCAGGTTTACAGGGGCGTTACGCTGATGCTGAAGCGCAGAAGAAGTCATGCAGTTGGCACTTTCACCTCTTCTCCTCGTGCTTTCTGGTATGGCAATCAGAAAATTCACGTCCATCTGTCGTGCATCGTCCTTGGCCACTCTCTAACATCTCTTCACTCACTATCCGAAGCAGGAACTGTGTTCCGGGCGTGCGCCAATGTCGCTCCCGAGGACGCCGAGTTCGAAGACGTCGAGTTGAGCGACGTTGAAATTGAAGATATCAACGCCGCGCTCAAGAGGTACGTATACCACAGACCCGATAACCCGCAAAAATCCACGAGAGCTTAGTTAACACTGACAGGACATCGTCCGATCGCGCCATTTCTCCTCACTGCTAATCCAGCAGAGGAAGGTTGTGGCATCGGGTCCGGTGTCAGTGTCCTTTGTGGTGTTAGTTTTCCCACTTGTCCACGATTCATGGAAGGGGTAGCTGTGACTGGAAACGATGCTGACGTCTCGCTCCAACGTAAGAATGCTTGCGTTGTATAGTGAGACGTCAGCATCGCTTCTAGTCACAGCTACCCTTCCATGAATCGTGGGCAACTTTCTGGAGCATCTCAGAAGAATTAAACAGGTCGCGTGCACAGCTTTGATGAGTGCGTAACGCAACTGGCTGATGCAATCGGTCTATTGCTCTTGCCTCAGGTTTCACTACACAAGGTTGCTCAGCAATGCCGCCATCGAGGCCGAACTCGTCTTCCCGAAGGTGAACGGTTCGTTTCCTATGTCTGGGAACGTCAGTCACCTCCGGCCTCAGGCTCCCGATCGCGTCAACCCCCGGTTTCTGGTGCACACGAACCGCAACGGGGATGGCGAGAGTCCGACACTCCTGCTCGAAGTGGGCTACGACGGCGACATGGACGCCATCGCCGAACTCTTGGACGTGAAAGAGAAGCTGTACATCCTGGTGCACGGGTTCCGCAGCAAGGCGAGGGCTAGATGGATGCAGCGTATCAAGAATGAGATCCTGGCAGTGGTGAGTTCGTCCCCCACCGTGGTGCGCCCAGTCAGGAGCCGGGGCCACGCAGCTAACAGATCGTACAGAAGACAGTCTGCATACATGTTTGGAGCATGTATGAAGCCAGCGTACTTCGAGCATGCTTGAGGAATGTCGGCAGATAACTGTGTCGTCATGTCTGAAGAGAACATCCTGCCTTTTGTACGATGTATGAAGGGAGTGACTGCCCGACTTCACACCTGTGTTCCGAATTTGCCCGCAATCACTCTCTCGCCAGAGTCGCCGGGGCAATCTGTTTTTACCGACTTTTACGACTAATGAGCAAAGTAGTACATAAGGAGATAATTATTAAACGAATGTATTCGCTGAAAATACTACAGCCGCAACACAGTTCGAATTCTGTTTTCCGTTTCAAAGTGACAGGGGCATGCAGCGACCATAAATAAATGTAAAATTTGGGGGTTGTCGTGCCAAACCAACGAAGGGCATCTGGCACGTATACGCACCAGCGGAGGACTGAGAATTCATTTAGTCCACCTGGGGATCTTTTGACCGTGCAACCGAAAGCTCGGTTACACGGCGCCTTTTCCGCAAAAAGCCTCCGTCAGTTTGCGTGCACCGCGGCCGGGATTCAAATCCGCCAACTGGGGATCCGTAGGCCGGCGCTTTGCCTCGGAGCCACCGAGGCGGCAGCAGCAACCATGAAAGGTTCTTCTTTTAAGAGAACCATGGAACAATTAATTTTTACATTAGATAGCTAATAGACTTGAAGAGAAACCCGTTACGGACAAGGCATCAGAAGTGTTCGCGAGGTTTATACATAAATCTGAAAGGGGAGGAGGGGGTATAAAAGCTTACAAACGCACCCCCCCCCCCCCCCCCCCCCCACTTCCCCGGTTAATACCACGCGTAACTACGCGTGGCACTACGTAAAAGGGGCGGGGGCCGTTTGTAAGCTTTTATTTTTCTCCCCTGGTTGGACGCTCGTCTCGCTATGCTGACAGAGCAGTGGAAGCTACGTGCCTGGTGGACGAATTAATCGCCTGCCTTTAATCGCTTGACCCGATTCTCCAAGTGCGAGATGGCCAACAGAGCATGATCAAAAAGAGAAACGGTTGACTGGTCCAAAGAACTCGCAGCTTCCACCCTCCTGTCAGGTTAACGGTGACCCGCAGTTCTCAGATTACCTGGTCTATAATCTTTTCGTCACCCTGCGGGGAAGTTTACGAGCAAATTGAAACCCCTGAAGCGCGCTGCCGACGTTAGGAGTCAACCTGTCAGATCGCTGAAGAAGCACAACGGATGGACGTGGGTTCTTCGAGAGATATGATGTCACAGGCGGATATGACGTCACAAGTGAAGCGCTGCCCAGATCTATTTTGTCGAACTAATTATTGGCCCCGTAAGTATGACCTCACCGCTCCAAACAAACCGTTGCTAGGGGCGTTGTTATGGACTAATACATGGGACTGGATTTTGCTCCGAAAGAGCGATCGTCCAAAAATTGGACGTGGAATTTAAACGTCTAAAAAAAGGCTTGAGGTACACCTAAACACTTCTTATGAGTTGTGAATGCGAAAGCATGAATGTCATTCTTCGCGCCGTGGTCGCTTCTGATACCCTCGGCACCAAGGCCACTTCTGATCCTCTCGGCGCCGCGGCCGTTTTTACTCTGGCGCGGGCACGCAGAGCCATGCGCGCGTCGGCTTCATATCATTGCCTTTTTGCGGGGTTTAAAAGCTGGGATGCCTCAGATCGCGGCTTCGCGAATTTATCTGCCGTTTGACGCGGCTGATGACGTCCGCTCGCTCCATGGGACAGTTAATGCTTTCGCATTAATAATATATCAAGGAAGTCTAGATTTCACACTTACCACGACAGACGTTTGCAGAGACGGCAACTTCCGGTCCTCGAGACGTCTCGAGATGCCTGTTGCAGACGACGAACGCTTGACGAACGCACACGGAATGACTGAAGTATGCCGTCTGCTGCAGGTTGAAACGTTTGCACAAAGATATACGATTTTTTATTAATTTGGAACATGGCAGGACTAACAAAACTAATCAGGTTTATAAAATCTAATTGTATTTGCGTGTGATACGTGATACTCTCTAAAGAAAATCATCACATGCATGGACATCTGCTAAAAATAGAGCGAGAAAGGCATCTCTTGAGAGCACGATATCAAAGCAGCATCGGACCCTCTATATAATTTTGCAATTAACGTACATTTTAATGAAAGAGCAATTATTTTGACTCTAGATGAACGGTTCGAGACCACAAACTTCGTTTTTCAGGCTCTTGATGTGGGTGTGGGTTCAGTGCCTGCCTTGTAATCATCAAACTGAAAAAAAAAATCCTATTGATTCTTTAGTCTTAAGTAAGACCCCAAGTGCGCATGACTGAGAAGGAACGCTTTTTCATGCCTCTAGAAGATTCGAGTTTACTCTTACCTCGACCATAAATATAAGGAGGTCAGAATGACCTTGCCTAGTCAGTCTCGTCCTAGCTCACTAACGAACATTCTAGGTCGAATGCTCAAGATGCCGAGACTAGTAGTTAAAGAGCCGAGCGTGGTTTTGTCGACTCAACGCCAGCTGTTACGCCGACTCATCGTCGCTCGCTGATGCCGCCTTCAACGCTCATCCTTTCTTTTGTTTCTAGGCACAAGTTCGTTAATTAATTTTTTTTTTCTGTCTTACGTTCGTCAATTCGATTCCATCTTCGAAAATATTAACTTTAAAGGCCGACGACCAGACTCGAGATTCTGCAAGGCAGAAGGTCCTCCTCACCATGGGAAAGGAGGAAACAGGCGGCAATGGACAGGGTAGAAGGGGGGAGAGGAGGAGGCGAGGGAAAAGTGAAAAGCGCGAACTGGTTGTCGGTCTTTAAGCAAACCATTACCATGTTTCGCGTACCGCGGTACCGGAGCCTTTGAAGCAGGCTTTTAAGCGGGCGCCTGGGTGGTGCGTGACCGCGGGGCACAAGCTTCAAATCGTGCTCCAAAGGCTCCGGTAGAACGGTACGCGGAACACGGATACGGTTTGCTAAATGTCCCCAATATAAATCTATTACGGACAGTTCCGTCTGAACACACAGATGTGCACTGAAGCAACTGTGCTGTCAGAAATCTTTGAAACGTGCGCTGTCCTGCACTTCGACCTAGATACACTTCACGTCGTCGTGCGTGATTCGGCTTCACAGTGGTTTTCACCTTCTCAGGTATTTCGGAAGCTAGCTCCACGAGAGGGCGTTCGCGCACTCGCGAACCTAAAGCGTCGATCAAAGCTGTGCATGCACGGGCACTCTTCACTTCCGAAATCCCACAGGAAGCTGACCCTGGGAATAGAAACGTTAAGGACGAGCGCGTTGTTAAAGAAAGAGACAAAGGGACGGACAACAACGCCAGACGACAACTTCCCGTGGTCCTTTGTCGTTGTTGTCCGTCTGTTGGTCCCTTTTTCGTAGTGAGAACAGAATTTTCGTCGATCATCACCGACATCATTCAATGCGGTGGTGTATACTCCAGAAAGAAACACTGAACCCGCGAAGCCATTGTGTCGTCTGCTAGCAAGGCGAAAGCGGTTGTGAGACTTCATTTCGGGCTTTTGTCATCGCTTTATGGTAGTGAGACGATAGAAAAATACTTCATGATTAGATACTGAGAAGACATAATGCTTACAAAAAAATTATGTACTTTTTTTATCAGACGATGTCTAACCTCGCGTCCAGCCCCTATGCACTTGTCCATAACAACGGCCCTGGCAGCGGTTTGTTTGTAGCGGAGTGCCATGTTGTGACGTCATTACTTACGGGGTCAATTGCCATTTCACTAAAAATACAATAGTCTATTAAAAAAAAAAAACTGGTGTATGTTGTTTTTTTTTCATAAAAAAGTTGCTCCTATACGAAGCTTATGGAAGTCCGCCTCCTCCCTTCCCTTTTCTCTTTTTTAATTTCCCCCTGGCTTGCGGCGCATGCAGGAAAATGCCACCGTCATCCTGGTGGACTGGAGCCAGGGCTCTGGGGGCAAGAACTACTCCGTGGCAGCTGGCAACACTCGTCTGGTGGCACGCGTGGTGGCGATGCTGCTTGAGCGCCTGGTGCGCGCCGGGGTGCTGCAGCTGGAGAACGTGCACTACATCGGGCACAGCCTCGGGGCGCAAACTGCGGGCTTTCTGGGAGAAGACCTGCAGGATATGATGGCTTCCAAGATCGGCAGAATCACCGGTGCGTCTCAGCCACCTGCCTTTCATGTGCGACGTGTAACGGTGAAGAATGAAATGTGTGCATCCACACTTCCTCACAAACGTGAAGTTCCACGATAAAATTCACTCTTTGCTTCTTTGTTTACAAGTACCGCCAACCATTATTGTAGGCACGGGCAATACACGTGTCACGGGGGGAGTGCTCCGCCTCCATTTGCTTCCAAGGTCCGCGCACGACATGTGCTTCGTACAGCGGTAGATTTGATGCTACTTGCAAGCACAAACGCATCAATGGACTTTGCATAAACGACCTGGCTGGTGCCTTCATAAAGGCCCGTTTCGCACAAGGCTGTTTGCTTGCGTTGCGTTAATTGCGTTATGTTACGGGAGCTTACGTATGCTTTTGCGCGAGCACGTCTCCAGACGGTGCTCGCGCAAGAACAGAGACACGGGCCTTGATAAGACAAATTCTGGCTCGACAGGTCTCGATCCGGCAGGACCTATGTTCCAGTCCTTCGGCGTCCACCTGCGGCCTGAGCACGCCCACTTCGTAGACGTCATCCACACGAGTATGGGCATGGGCTTCAACGTCTTCCGGGGCCGGATGGGCATCACCATCGACTGTGGACACGTGGACTTCTACCCCAACGGCGGGAGGCGGCAGCCCGGATGCAAAGCGCTTGGCAGTAAGTGTTCTTTCCTATATACAAAACTCCACTGTAGGCCTTTACAGCTCTTCTAACCCGGGCCAAATATCTTGAGTCACGGCGTTTAATATATTTTGCAGGAAGGAGCTACTGTGCATGCTCGGCGCGAGTCCCACAACCTGTGACACCCCAGTGGGCAAATATAGCAGCCCGCCGAAGGCGACGGTAGAATAAGAGGGAGGTGCATCAGAGAGAGAGAGAGAGAGAAACAAACTTTTATTTCGATCGAAGATGCTCCTCGATCTTTAGACGAGGTCCGCGCCTATAGGTAGCTCTGTTCTGACCTCCGTCGTCCACCACTTTCTGAATGTGATGAACGAGGAGCGGCCACCACACCTTTTGAAGCTCTGGAGGGAGGAGAACCATTCCTCCCAGCCGCTTGGGATCAGGTGGCAGGGTAGATTTTATTAATTAATTAATTAATTTATTTATTTGTATTATGTCCAGAAACAGCCGAGGCCTTAATACTGGTACACAATCACACACAACATACACTTTAAAAAGAAAAAGAAAACACGTACACATAATGGCAGAACACATATAAAACCCAAACACTGATGTTAGTAAATGTGAATGGTTAGTGCGCTTTTAAAATCTCACTCATTCCCGAGAACGTCAACTACCACGCTCAGTACATTAAAATTGCTTTGAATTTTTAAAATTGGGGAAAATGAACGTATGTTTTGCAAGTAAAACGTGTTGTGGTGTCGACAGTTTACTCGGGGAACACGTGAAAAAAGCAGAGAAACAAGCCTGGGGCTTGTTTCTCTGCTTTCTTCACATGTCCCCCGAACGCTTACCAAGGAGCCACTGGCGGCACTTGAACCCCGAAGAACCAAACGCGGCTAGCGGGCAAATAAAGAAGCGCTCAGTAATGATTTTTTTTTTTTTTTTTAATGATTGATGTTGAAATATAAGGCAAATGTACTTCTAATTTTTTTTTTTTTTTTTTTATGTATTACTGTAAGCAGCGCCAACGCTAAGGCTGCCCTTCTGAGGCGATTTCATCATCATCATTTATTTTGCTTGAGGACCTGCAAGGGAGCGGGCAATACATATAAATATTTAAATAAATATATATAGAAACAATAAACGCAACATTTACACAACACTAAAACACTGTAATAGAATTTGATGGGTTAGGGAGGGAGTTGGTAGTAGATGCTGTTGATCTGGAAGGAAAAAAAAAAAAAAAACATGACAAAGGAAACGTGCAAAACGTACCAAACACACAAGTAGAAGTCTCGTTTTTTTTTCTTTTTTAATGGGCTGGTAATTTTATTTTATTTCATTTATTTACCTCAAGGGCGTATTTGAGGACGGATTGAATGAGGGGGTATGCAGTGCGTGCATTCTTAGCAACATAATAACACAATTTTTGAATCACTGTCATTATATAACGGAGTAACAAAATAAGCGCAATCAGGGCCCAACACAGCTCACAAAAGAGTAGTGACATCGCACGTACACAATAGCCATTTTCAACAAGAAGTAACTATGTATGAAACAATAATTTCAATATGAGGAAACAGGAAGTGATTATGAAGACAAGACATAAGCACGTATACGTGTCCTATTCATACCATAGGTGCTCGCACATTGCGTTAAATTCAGCGGGGTTTGTGTTGGTAACCATCTCGTCTGGCAAGTTATTCCATTCTGTAATCGATAATATTAAGGGTGAAAACAGAAAGGAATTAGTGTGACTGGTATTGCTGTACCTTACAGGAATTATTGGTTTGAGGAGAAATATAATGCACGGAATGACAATAGGTGTTTTTAAAGCACGGGTTACTGTAGTATAAGTCACGAAAGAAACATATTCGGTTAATTTTGCGCCGGGCCGACAATGAAGTGAGCCACAAATTTGCTTTTAAAGCTGAGAAACTAGTTTGAGGCGAAAAGTCGTTTGATATGAACCAGGCTGCTTTACTTTGGACAGATTATAGTTTAGGAAGATATAATTTTGATATGGATGCCATATGATACTTGCATATTCTAGATTTGGGAGAATCACCTCGTTTCACGTCTGCGTGCAGAGTTCGACTGTTCGCACGGCAGGGCGGCCCTGTACTACGCCAACTCGATCCGCACCTGCAGCTACCCCTCCGTGCCGTGCTCAGACTACAAGACTTTCAAGGCCGGATGGTGCTCGTCGTGTGGCAGGTCCTGTGGCTTCATGGGCCACAACGCCAGCCCGCTCCTCAGGGGCAGGCAGTTCCTGCGCATCTCGGCCGTCTCTCCTCACTGTGCGAGCGACAACAGTGGTCCTGCTTCGGCGGTGATCGTGTGGACGTACGTGATGATGTCTGTCGTCTGCAGCTTGTTCTGCGCTGTCTGCTCGCCGTAGCACCCAGGGACATCCTCTTTTCATCCGCTGCAACGTCATTCGTGTGGAAAATACCAAGGCTGTGAGTGGTGGGGACGAGAAATTGACGGCAAGGTTCTGTGTGGTGGTTGGTTGGTGACAATGAGAATGTTGTATGTTTGTAGACACTACTGAATATACGAGTCAGCGGTGTTTGAAACGTTGCCTTTGGCAAATCTGTTCCTTTCTTTTCCACTTTGGATTCTTCTCATTCTCTTTAGAGCTGTCCATCGCTTATTACGCGGACAAAACATGCTGAGTCACTGAGCTGTGGAAGCATGCGCAGCGTCTGATATGCCGCGCAACAGAGCAAGAGCGCGTGCTCGAAAAGCGTTCTATAGCCCAGCAGATAAAGATGGCAGCGCGGTAAATCTACACCAGGGCCGGTTTGCTCATCTTGCGGCTGCGGACGCGGCCGCGGCCAGGAGGGAATTTTACGTCACGTGACCAGCTCCATGGGGACAAGGAAGTACCTAGCGTCCCTGCCTAATGGCGGAAAGATCCTCATCGCTTCAAGCACAAAAGCCTAATTTCGCTCGCAGAAACTGATTGGAGGGACTTTCAACTGGAATCTAATTGACCGCCCGTTTATACTGTAGGAGCGGTAGGTAAAGTTACGGCCAGGGAGGGCAAATAGGAGCCAAAAAAAAGAAAAAACCACACGAGATAAAAGCGGTAGCAGTATTTTTATATACCTCCGCCGGCGCCGCGCCTCGCGCCTTCTGTTGTGGTCGAGAGGTTAAAGCGCCGGTAGCTGTCGTCGTGGCGTGAAAGTTCCGGGTTCAAATCGCGCTAGGGACTTTTTTTTTTTTTTTTGTGTGTATTTTGCGCGTGTCTTACTTTTGAACTCTGATCCTTTTTTGGAAATCATCCACTTGCACTACTGCGCCTTATACCCCTGTTACACGGGCACACTTAAACGCGGTTAACTCAACTTAACTGCTGTTTCGCGGCACCACAGATACCGCACTATACTCTCTGACAGCTATATCAGAAGAAGTGAAGAGCGCGCGCGCACTGCTTCGATAGATGCTCAAAATGCTCAAGTGCACGTTCGTCCATAGCTTTGACTGCATAGCCGCAGAATGTTGTCCGCAAGTATTGTGCGCTATCTGCGGCTTAGCGTAACTGCAGTTAAATGTGCTCGAGTAACAAGGGTATTACACGCTTTTACTGTTAGTCCCACCTGTTCAATCGAAACACCGGGAAGAAGAAAAAAAAAGATCAACGCAAGTTAACGCGCTAATGGAATCATTTCGTAATGTTCATTAAAAGGAAATCAAGCTAACAGCATCAGTATGGCTTTCACACAAGCAGAGCCGAAACAAGCATCCTTTCCCCAGCGTTTACAATTTTATCTGTTTTCGAATAACGCTCTTGCTACGATTCCTTTCAATAACAAGAGACGCCTATTTAGGACTAATAAAAACTGCAATTGTAGCAATTAAAAAAAAAACAATAAAACAAGCAAAAAAAAAAGATTAGCAGCTGTGGATACATTGATTGAGCGAAATCCTACAGGCAAGGCAGCAGGTCAAACGTCTGAGAAAGTAGTAAAACTGAACTAAAAGAGATCGTACTTTTACTTGCAAGGAATGAGATAAAAAGTATATTTATACTCTTTACATTTTGTTGTGGCAATCGTTTTGTAATATTAACACATTACTTGTTGAATTTTAGTTAGACTAGCAGACGATCACGACCAAATGCAAAAATGAATCAGGCATCGACCATCGCAAACCCTCTCTCTAATGCAAACACCTAAAATAACTTTGAATCAAGAAATGGAATTAATTATAATTAATTATAATAACCTGCTGCCTTGCCTGTAGGATTTCGCTCAATCAATGTATCCACAGCTGCTAGTCTTTTTTTTTTTTGCTTGTTTTTTTTTTAATTGCTACAACTGCAGTTTTTATTAGTCCTAAATAGGCGTCTCTTGTTATTGAAAGGAATCGTAGCAAGAGCGTTATTTGAAAACAGATAAAATTGTAAACGCTGGGGTAAGGATGCTTGTTTCGGCTCCGCTTGTGTGAAAGCCATACTGATGCTGTTAGCTTGGTTTCCTTTTAATGAACATTACGAAATGATTGCATTAGCGCGTTAACTTGCGTTGATCTTTTTTTTCTTCTTCCCGGTGTTTCGATTGAACAGGTGGGACTAACAGTAAAAGCGTGTAAGGCGCAGTAGTGCAAGTGGATGATTTCCAAAAAAGGATCACAGTTCAAAAGTAAGACACGCGCGAAATACACACACACACAAAAAAAAAGAAGTCCCTAGCGCGTTTTGAACCCGGAACTTTCACGCCGCGACGACAAGTACCGGCGCTTTAACCTCTCGACCACAACAGAAGTCGCGAGGTGCGGCGCCGGCGGAGGTATATAAACATACTGCTACCGCTTTTATCTCGTGTGTTTTTTTTCTTTATTTTGGCTCCTATTTGCCCTCCCTGGCCGTAACTTTACCTGCCGCTCCTACAGTATAAAGGGGCGGTCAATTAGATTCCATTTCAAAGTCCCTGCAATCAGTTTCTGCGAGCGAAATTAGGCTTTTGTGCTTGAAGCGACGCGGTTCTCTCCGCCATTAGGCAGGGACGCTAAGTACTTCCTTGTCCCCATGGAGCTGGTCACGTGACGTAAAAATCCCTCCTGGCCGCGGCCGCGTCCGCAGCCACAAGATGAGCAAACCGGCCCAGGGGCCCTAAACTCGTCAGACACAAAGTTGGAGCCGGAAGTTCACGGAGCGCGCCGATTGGACGCTGGGGACAAAAGTGCCAAATCATCGTCGTGGTAGTCCAATCAATGCGCTCCGTCAACTTCGGCCCCAACTTTGTGCTTGACGAGTTTAGAGCCCCTGCTCGCTCGCATTATCAATGTTTAGCGACAACGTTGAGTTTCTAATCTTAACTCGATATCATTAAGCAACTCGTGTCGCAGAAAAACCGGCGTCGGTGGCGTGACGAGAAAATTGCAGACGCGAAAATCCTGATTGGTCGATAGGGTCATGACGTCACAGTCATATGACCTCGCGCGGGAATTTCAAACAACCCACAACGCTCACATGACGTCATGCGTAGAATCAAAGTTATTAGAATATGACATGTAATGCGAATTAAAGATTGCAGCATGCCTCAAATGATTTCACTTTCTAAAGTGATTCAGTTGCCTTAAAGAAAAATTAATTGAAGAATTTTAGGCGGGATTTCAACTTAGGACCCCTCGGTTGCGGGCCAGACTCGCTACCGACTAGGCACTTTCTGCTCACTGGCAGGAAGAGCATGAGAAGCGAAGGAGAAGGTGATGCGAACGGGGCCCGATAACGCTATCGTGTCCGATTCTTAAAGGCGAAGCCGCGCCTCCTGTAATTTTCGTGTTTGGTAGTCGCATATATGGTGCGCCTTGACGATTGAACTTCAGTTGTAAGTTCTGCAATTGTACGTCTTCTCTCTTCTGTCCCGCCCATTTGCGGTGTACATGCCGAAAAAAAAAAGGAGTATATTTTTACACCCCTTGTCACATTTAATACACCCCAAAACTTCAGATCGACGTACAGCGCACTGACGTTAAACCGACGGTACGAACTTTCACGAGCGGCTTGATAGCCGAATTGTATAGCTTATTAAAACATCTAATGTATACGTGTGACTGCCTGCAGAATAAGTAACCGGGGTTTTCTTAACCCTACGGCAAAACATCAGTGCTTTTGTTTTTCTTCGTAGTCTTTGATACGCGCTTTAGCTGTTTAATATGTTATATGGCACCATCATCAAGCCTCTCGTAAAAGTCGCGACCGTCGGTTCGACGTTAGTGCGCTGTAACGTCGAACCGAAGTTTTGGGGTAAATTATGTGTCAGTAGGGTTTCGTGTTTTCGGAGTTTATTTTTCGTGAAAATCGGAGGGTGTTTTTCAGAGTTAATTTTTTTCCCGAAAATTCGGAGTTTATAGCAGTTTATATTTGTTTATATTAAAAATATCCAAAATTCGGACCTTAGTTTCGCAGTGTTTCCTATGAAAAATAAATAAATAATATTCGGGTGTAAACGTATGCTAGATAATAATAAAATAATAAAACGCGCTTATATCAATTAATATTTATTCCACTTAATTTGGTGCTGGTGCCATTGCCATTGACAGCACTAATTTGTCCCACGGCAAAAGTTGCCCACATGCGTGGCTTCAGTAAACGTGGATACCTTACAAATAAACTCCTGGAGGCAGTCGCTGGGAAGCACGTATTCATCCCATCCTATTCCATGCTACCCCGCGGCTGCGCGAGGTGGAGTGGTAAAGGATGTAATAGGGACGTTTCAACTGCCCCTCTTCCAATTTTATGCAATCTCTCTGGTCCATAACTTTAACTGTTACAAAAAACACAACCTCCCCTTCCTGTTAGAACAGAAATAGTATGGCCCACACTGGAAACCAATACATAGCCGTTTGTCGTGATCCGAAAGTGATCCGAAACATGTCCCGAACCTTGACGAGATAACCGGTATAAGACTCCTTTTGTCAATGATCTGAGATTTGAAAGATAACTCCGGTGGCATTTTCCCGGGACCATTGACCCTGTGTGCTGATCAAACTTAATAGTAAAATGCAGTCTTTATTTTCTTTTGAAGGGGGAGGGGGGAGGGGGGAAGGGGGGGAGGTCACGTCAAAATTTCACGTCAAAATTGCCCCGTCAAAATTCGGAGTTTATCGGATAAATCCGCATTGACCAAAATTTTACCGGCGGGTGTTTTTCGGAGTTTTTCGGATTTATCCGAAAACACGGAACCCTATAGATGTAACAACAAACGTAAAAACTACACTTCTTTTTTTAGAATGCACGCTTTATTTGGCATGGAAAGAATCGTATATTCGTTGCCGGTCGCGCTCCGTGAAGACAGTATTAACCCTACCGAGGCCCTCAGGGATCAATGAATGATTGAATGAATGAATGGAATAGAAAACAATATTCAATCAAATGCCTTATAAAGAAAAGCTATAGCAAGTTTTAAAATATATATATATTTTAAAATTATTTTTGTTTAGCCCACGCGTGTGAAAGGCGCTTCAAGCGACCTTCCATTCGGGACGGCGTCTGTTTAAACATGGGTCAGCACAATCTTGCTACGAGTCCCCTGATATCTGGCATCATCGAGAGCCGACCAGAATAAAGCGCG